AGCCAGCTCCTAGTGTTGGAGCGTGCAGCTGCTGAGAGCATCCCCGCACCTTTGGTTCCAGGGAATGGACCAGTCTCAGAAACAAGTGTCTGCATCTGCTCTCCTACCGGCACTTGGATGTGTGTCACTGAGTGTCCTGAGCACATGAGGTGCTTTCTAAGGTGACTTACAAAGTCTTGTGCCTTGCTGTCCTGGTTTTTATAGTAAATGCACGTGAGAGTTCTCGCCTGGAGAGAAGCACGCCTTCCCCAAGAGCAGCAATCTGGGGTGTGCTGTGGTGCCTGTTGTGACCGTTGGTGTGCCATGTGTGTCTGGGGACAGCCGTCGGTTCCAGTTGTCCTGCTGGATGTGCTTCTGGAAAGCAGCAAGTGATCTGGGGAATCCCCTCCTCTCTGTAGGGGTTGCAAGGTGTGGGACAGGCTGCTGCAGGAATCGGCTCCCGTTTCTGCAGGGTTTAATGCAGCTGCATGCTTCTCCATCTCTGCTGTACCTGCATTCTTATTTCCCTCCCTGAGAGAAAGGCAAACGGGCTGCTGGGCAGCTCGCTGCCTTTTATAATGCTTTTCCTCAGGAGAGAGCAGGGCCCTGCTCCTGGTCTGCCCAGTCCATCTCTTGGCTCTTAGGATGCGCTCCTTGTGCACCATCCCAGGTGATGAGCATTTTCCACCTCTTCTTGCAAGGAGTTTGCACTTGAAGGAGTTTTTTTTTTGTTTGTTTTTTTTTAACTACCTGTTAAAAACCGGATGAGTGTTAGCTCTTATTTTGGCCACCCTCTGCTTGTGCCTTACCCTGCGTGTGTCCCTCGGGGCTTTCGCACATGCTTATTGCACGTGGATCCCAAAGGGAGCACTGCCGTGCCCCTGCAGAGCATCCTCACGTCCTTAATGAAAAGGCCTGGCCCTGGTCATGGGGCAAACAGCAACGTGCAAAGCTTCCCTAATAAATTGTGAGAGTTGAAAGGCGTTTAATGAAATAACTTGGTTTTGATGACTGGTTTTGCAGCACTGATGACACCTTTGGGTAATGAAGGAGCAAACCAGAGCTCGTGCCCGGGTGACTGGTAGGCAGCTGTATGGCAGCCCCTTGCCTTTCAGGGCTACTTGCCTGGGACCAGCAAGGAATTCTTACTTCAGCACTGGCATTCACGTTTCAGATTGTGTTATCAGAGAGCATCGGGTCTTGCTGAACCTGTTTGTGGATGGCTTTACAACATCAGTGAGGCGTGAAGCTCCTGTCAGGGGACCCAAAGTGGTAGTCCTTTGATTTGAAGATAGCCAGAAGATGTTCCAAGTTCTGGCCTCCACATGCAATGCGTGGCTTAACTCTTGCTAGGCTGGTTTTGCATATTGCAGTCAGTGCCATGCAAATCAGCAAAATGATCAGGAAAAGCAGCTTCTGCCCAAGCTGCTTGTTCAAGGCTTGCTTGAGTAGATTATGTTAAACTTTGTTGTCTTCTCTTAATTGCTTTGCACCCACTTTATATATAGATTTTGAGTAAAATTGTTTTCTGAATATTCTTAATAACCTTGTATAGTGAATTTCTCAGAGCAAAATACAGGCTGCTACAGCCTGCAGTACAGATTCACCAAGCAATTACGAAGTTGTTGCGATGGGCATTAGGCTTTTTTAATCTGTTCTTGTAGTGTAGCTGTAGTCTCTTCGAGTTTGACCTTCAAAATAGCATCTCTCCTGTAGGGAAATCAATCTATTAGAAAAATAAAAGTAAATGTGGCACTTTATATGCATGCACACACGACCCGTAATAAATCAAATTAGCATTTACCAACCTGTAGCCTTAAATAGGAGAAAATAGATGAGCTTTGTCATTTATCTTGTGAGCCACGCAGCCTGTGCTGCTTGTGGTCAGGAGTGTGTTGTCATCATTAAATCTCCAATTTCCAGTGCTGCTAAATGCCTTTACTCGCAGCTTTTTTGTGTTATTTGTAAAGTGATTTATGTGCAGCCTGTCTTTAGGCATAAATGTGGCAAGACAGCCAGAGCATAATCCCCAGCCCAAAGCACCGTTCTGGGTGTCAGGGCCTCCTACTCGGGCACAGCCTTTTGGCACTGGCTGTTACACGGAAACCCAGCGAGCTGATTTCCACCTGCCATCAGCAGGCACGTACGGCTGGGCTGCCTCTCTCTGCATCCTTAATTTCCAATGAGCGAGTGGGAAGGAAGCCCTACGTGGAAAACCGTTTTGTTTTTATGTCCCACACAGTGATCATCGGGAATGCGGAGAAAACACCGGCGTGTGCTTTGTGTTTCATCCGTGCTGCAGGGCGAGGAGTGAGCAGAACCTGGTGTCTGTGCTTCAGAAAAGGCTTTCAGGGCTGGGAATCAGTCCTGAGCCCCCGAGGTCTGTCTGACGTGGGAGTTGTGCACCCTTCCTCGAAGGGCTCTGTGGCGGCTTTGAGAAGAGCTGTTAGCTACAATTGCTAGCGTGGAAGTGAAATCTTTTCAGAACATGATGGGCACGGGGGAGGAAATACAGATTACAAGCACTGAATCTGAAGCAAACAGGATGTTTTTGTCTTTGGGCATTTCAGCCTGGTCGAAAGTAACTTTTTGCTGTTGCTTTTAGAAAGAGAAAGGGACTTAATCCTAGCTTTTTGGCTCATGAAAGCCAAATGCTGGTATCATTGTGTGTTCAGATGCATGCAAATTCATGGTAATCTCTGCTAAATAAAAGAACCAAATTTAAAAGCAGTGATAGGAGCGTTAAGTTATTCCTAGAGCAGCTCCGATGCAAAAAACATTGCTTTATCCTTTTTGAAATGCTCCTAATGCTTTAAAAGAATTTGTGGCGATTATTTAAAGTGACATCCATGAATATTTGTTTTTTTAGGGAGTAGATCACTGCTTGTATGCAACTTCCAGGGATACGGCAAAGTTTTGTGCTCAGTAACAGTCCTTGTAGGGTGAGTCGTGAGGTCTGTATCACAAGGAGAACGTGGCATCACTCCTCCTTCTCGTTCTCAAGTCTTTCACTGCACTTTTCTTGTGTTTGGAGATGGGAAAGCATAGAGGAAATCAGGGAATTTGTGTGCTGTGTGTTGTGCTGGGCCAGCTTTCTGGCGCTGCTGGCTGCTGTTGAGCTGGCAGGATGCGGTATTTGTGGGCAGCTGAAAGCAGTAGCTTCCTAGGATTCCCTTTTCTCCCCCCATTCTCAGCTGAATGCAGGAGCATGGCATCCTGGTCAGTTCACCCAGAGATCTGGGCCAGCTGCTGCTTTTGCACCAGGTATTAGTTCAGTTCTCCCTTTCTCTGCTTCTGTCAGCAGCCCGAACGCCCTGGATCTTCTCGAAGTGAAGCTGCTGCTGCATTGCCTCTGCAGGCAGAGCACTTGCTGATGGCCCTGGCTGGAAGTCTGCACCCATCCCTGTCTGGTGCGTGCATCTTTTGAGCTGTTGCATCCTTCCTGAGAAAGAATGAGGCACTTCGACAAAACCAAATCAGAAACCTGTTGCTGGTGGGCAAGAAAGTTGAAGAAGGTTTAAAGGGCTGTGGCTGGAGCCCAGGGAAAAGGGAAGGAAACTTGTTCAGCTGAGAGCAATTGCAACAGCGTGGTAGCAACAGTCAAGAGAGGCAGCTGCAGGAGGTGCAGAAGGTTTCCTCCTCGTGGAGATGAGGATTTGTAAAGGGGGGAAATTGCTGAAGATTGTGTGGGAGCTCAGATAGTAACTATGGTGCAGAGATTGATGAAAAATCCTACGGTGCTGGGCAAAATAGGTGGTTCCTAAGGAGAAACTGAGATACCTGGCATTGGGAGACCTAATGCTCTAAGGCAAATGCCGCGTTCGTTAACTTAGCTGAGGTCTGAAATAGGCTGCTCCTGCTCCTGAACAGAGAGCTGGGAGAACTCTCTGTGTGTGAGGCACTCAAACAGCTTTTGTTCTGGGCAGCAAGGTGAAAAGCCTTGAAGTACAGGGGGAATCGTGTAATTTGGTCTCTCACAGAGAAGAGGAATTGGCTTGAAACATGGCAAGCTCTTCTGCTAGGAGCAGAGTGCACTTCTGGCTTTGTTCCTCTTAATTGGGATGGAGTTGTGCAAGTTATAATTACGCTGGAAAAGCTACTCTCACAAAAGCGGTGGGATCGTCAAGGGTCATAAAAAATTGTGACTGACGTATTGAGGTTGTTTTGGAGGAGATCCCGGCAGCAAGCCGTGCTGCTCCTCACCACCGTGCGCTTGGCTCGTCCTTGGTACCTGCTGAGCACTGGGGAGAGTGGAAACTCAGCTTGTTGATGAGTCTGCTTTGCCTAAAAGTGGGTGAAGTAAAACTGCTTGCGTTACACCACCGCCAGCCATCTGGAATAGATCTAATTCGGTCTGTCCGTAAAGTAGAGCTGGAATGCTTCACCAATCTGTAAGTTATTTGCAGCCTGCTTGGCTTCGCTGAGCAAAAGTTGGTGTTTCTTTACGCTCTCCATCTCGAGGGGAAAAACCTCTTGTGGTTCCTTTGAGAGATCACAGCAGCAGCCTGACAAAACTTCTACACTTGTGGTTAGATAACAGTTGCATAATGTGCATGAGGCCCTGTGTTTTTATGCAACACTGAGATTTGGGCATGTAAGGGTCTTTTTCTTGTTCCCATCTTTTTTGCTAAGGATGCGGTAAGGTTTATCCTCTTGCTGAAGAGGAGAATTTTTGTTTGGCCAGCTGTCCTTTTCTTCCTTTTGTTCTCCTCTTCTAGCTGGACTTGCCTGAACTGTGACTTGCAGTAAATAAGGTGTATTTTCCAATAAAGTATAAAATCTATTTATATAGAGAGAACAAGCGTGGTGTAGCACATCTGTTCTTGTGGTAGGTAGCGATCGTCTTCAGAATGACTTTGGTGTCAGAAGTGACTCTTTAGCACGAATGCAAGAATCCAGGCGTGTGCACTTCCTTTTGTTGTGGAAGAAATAGGAAAATCAGTATTTTTCAAGTGTGTGTGTGCTTGTGAGTACAAAAAGCGTGGACGTTGCTAATTCTTTGTTCCTGTCTTGTCAAATAGATCATCTAAAGCAGCTGGATATTTGCAAAAGAAGACTTCAACAGCGAACAGATACTTCATCTCTCAATCAGATTCAACAATGCATTAGAGGAAGCTGGCCTGGCTGTACAGAGATTTCACACTGAAGAATGAATAGTGAAGAAGAATTCTATGATGCCGTTACGGGTGAGTGATGGGCACACTACCAAAAAAAAGAGGTACTGGGGGGAAGGCATGAGCTGCACTCCGTGTGTGGTGAGGTGTTAGTAGTGGGTTACCATTACAGGTTAAAATAAAAATGTTTTTGGTGAAACTTGTAGCACCCTCTTCTGAAAAGAAGAGAGGAAGAATTGTAATTTAGGTTCAGGCTCAGACTTGGAAATGATTTAATTTTTTTTCCTTAAAGCTCAATGCTGGCCATTATTTTATCATTGCAATAGTCCTTCAGTGCCAGAGTCTTGCTTTCATTTTCAGTAAAATGCAGGTAATTTTATAGCAGCTTGAGAAGTAATGCTTTTAAGACCCTTTGAAAGGTGAAACATCTTCTGTAGATTATTTTTACAGTTGTGTAATTTATTTATTTATTTTAATAGAAAACTTATTCCCAAGAATTGAAGTAGAAATGTGTTTTTACATTTCTACAAATTGCTGTGAAAGTGGCTTTCAAGATAGGGAGCCCAAAGTCTTTGCAATCCATTGTTGCTACTAGCAAAGCAAACGGTGATCGCCTCACGCTGAAGCAGTGTACCAAATAGTACTTTTCTTTGAACTAATAAGAATAAATGGTTATTCGTAAGAGCTTTACATGTTTTTAGCTGTGAAACAAAATGCTTAAAGTATTCTAATAAAAAAAAAAAGCCCTCTCAAAGATCCTGAACAATATAACTTTCCCACTCGTCTCCTTAGAAATCCTGTAATAGCGGTGAAATGAGAAATGCTGGCAGTGGTGAGTGTAGAGCCCTTAATGTAAAAGCCAGGGAATGAACAGAGAATAATGGGAAGGCTGAAGGAATGGAAGTAGCATGTAGATGCAAGTGGGTAAGGTGGACTTTAGGTTAGGTGAGGCCCTGGGTGACCTGATCTAGTGGGTGGCATCTCTGCCAGTGGTCAGGGGTTGGAGCTGGGTGAGCTGTAAGGCCCCTTCCAACCTGAGCCATTCGATGATGCTGTGACTTAGACATGGTTGAAGAGGCCTATGAGGAATAAACGGTGGGACCATAGCCATGAATGAACTAGAAATTACTTAATTTGAAAAGCTGAACAGAAATGTGCATCTAAGCTTGGATTCTGTGGCTTGCCGTTTTGATGTTGGTGCGTTCCTTTGCCTCTTGCTGCAGAAACACACAGCCCTCAGTGTTTGAGCAGTTGAATTTTCTCTTTTTTCATCTTTCCCCTCTTTCCTCAACCCCAACAGGCTGATTTGCCCTACAAGTGCTGAAGGAGGTAATGACTTCTGTGCTGCTGTACGTGAGAGCTGTTCTTGTGCCTTGCAGTCTCTGCTGGCTCTGCTCACGAGTGAGACGTAACACGTCAGTTCTGAGAGCGCTCCTTGTCCTGTCCTCAGCTTGTTCTTCTACTAGGTGACATGTCATGGGAGGAGAGAAGCTTCAAAGCAAAAGAAAATCAGATGTCTTGATGTGCTCTCAGCACAGCCCTCTTCTGATGGAGGGTGTTGGTCTGCAGCAGCTGCTCCAGGAACTAAACGAGGTTGAACTTTTTCCCTGGTCTGTGTTGCCCTGGAGCATGCCCCACAGGTATTTGGTTTACCAGGAGTGCTCAGTTTGGAGAAGCTTGTTGCAGCTTCTTCCTCCCTCGATACTGTCTTTAAAGACAGGTGTTCAATCTCTTCCTCCAGCTAGATGCTTTAGAAATTACTGACAGTTTGATGGATTACTTGCATGAACATAATGAAATCCAGACCTAGTTGTTTGTAGCTATGTCTTGTCCAAGTCGTACAGAAGTGTGATGCTAAGAGCAGCTCTGACTGTGTCTTCCTGCATTTGTGTTCCCAGCTGCTGGTGCCTGTAGCAACTCTTTACTGCTGTTAATTCTGTGGACTGTACCTTTCAGGCAGCGCTGTGTTGGATTCTTTAGACTCTAATGGGTCCTGATTGTGCCTGCCTATTCTTTTAGTTTTTGGATGGTCTGGACACAGTAGCTGTAGACTAGTTCAGCCAGGAGATCAAGTTCATAACTGAGGTCCTTTCTGAGTCAAGGTAAGCTTGGGTTCCACAGTGAGAACCTCAGGATTTGGGGTTGCAAATTCTGATTTAAAAAAAAATGAAATGCCATTGGCAGACTCCTCAGTCTGTTCCTTCCAGGAACGTTCTCCATAATTTAAGTCAGATCAGTAGATGGGCAGAAGCCAGTCCTAGACGCGTACTTGTTTTCCTCTAAGTCTGTGGCTGGGACGTGGCTACCAGGAACAAGCACATTCTCCAGCTGTGCCTCACCTCCATGTGGAGACGAAAACAGTGTGTACCCCGTGCTCTTCTCCACTTCCTCCCCCAGAATCCTGGGCGCTGCATTCCCCAGGGGGAGTTGCAATGTGTTCCCACAGGTTCCCTGCTTTTATTGATTGGGATACTGTGGTTTCTGCCCTATAAATAGCAAACCAGGCTTAGGAGGGCAATGGAGCTCCATCGGAAGTTGTGCTTTAGAATTCTGCAGCAATCTGAGCAGCAGCCCTTGTAGCGTGTTCTCTAAAATGTGAATTGGCTCCTTGAGGAAGCCACAACTCTTCTAGTTATAAAATAACTTCTAGTTATTCCTTGATGATAACCACTCCTAGAATGTAAACCTCTCCTAAGGAGACACCTGGTTTCTGTTGTGATGGATTTCATCTCGTAGGCTGGGAAGCTTCCTGCTCTGACACCGTCCCCATCACAGCCAGAAGTCACGCTCATGGGATGGATTTCCGTGCTGCGTGGCTGGGACTCACCCTCATGGTGGCTGGGTGATGAGCACACTCATAAACGTCCAGGACGGGCCGTGTTGTACAGGTGGTGAGTCAGGTTTGTGACTGATGGAGAGAGTTTCCGTAGTGAAGTTTCCTCGCATTCAGAGGTGATTGTCGTTGCCGATTAGCTGGACACGTGGCATCTTACTGCGGCAATGAGTACTTGCCGTGGGAATCTTGAAAATGTTACCTGTAAGGTCAGTTAGTTCTTGGCAGCACGGCGTCTGCTTTTTCTCAGGTTCGGGAGGCAGCATGCTCTGAGACTGGAGCAGGCAAACCGCCTGGAGGAATCCAGTTCCTGGAGGAATTCAGATTCTTCGAAGTCTTCTGCGAGACAGGGAGCACACAGCTTTGATCGCTTGCCTCTGGCCTATGTCACTTCAGGATTGATAATCTCATTACAAACTTGTTACGGACTGTGTGCCATCAGCTTCTGCCGGGTCGGACCTGTATCTTTCATTAATTCTGCCAGATCTGTCTCTGCCAAGGTGTTTTATGGAAGGATTGCAATAGAACAGCAAAATGTTTGGCTAACAATTTCATTTCATTTTTTTAAATGACCTGCAGTTCCAGGGAAATCTGTTGTGTGCCTGCGAGGTTCATCTGGCCCGGAGCATCTGTGAGCGTGTTGCCCTTCTGCTTCCTACTGCTTGGCTCCTGTTCGCTGTAAACTCTCTCTTGGGGAGCAAGAAGTGAGGTACCTGCTGCCAAACGTATATATTTTCACAATGTTTGGATTGAATCAGCAGATTCTGCCAGTTTTTAAGTACTGAGAGCCTTGTGGAAGCGCAGCCTGCCTCCTGTTGGAAGCAGCGTGACACGGCTGCGGGTGGCAATGGCTTGGGTTGAAAACCAAAACCCAACCCTGGCAACTTCTGGCAGGGGAAAAGTTACTTCTTTTACTTGCTACGTACACTTCCAGCATGTTTCTCTTCGTACTCTTTATACCCTTTTCAGGTCTGAGGGCTCCCAGGACTATGCTGTTTTGATTCTTTTTCCGTCTTGAGTGACAGCGCTTAATTAGTATGTGAGGAAGCTGCTGAATGCATGCGGGGCAGTCGTGTGGCTGCCGGTGACTCAGTGCTGTGCCTGCGCTCCCTCCCAGGTGGATATGTAACGTAGGCTCAGGGGACTTGTTTCATTTGCAGGATGGGGAAGAAGAAGACCACGAAACTTAGAGTTACTGGCAAGTCCTTTTTCTTTAAGCTCTTGAAGTAGATTAATGCTGTCAACCAGCTTAGATATCTGACTTTAAAATCTAAGACTTTTTAAAAGCTTTGTTTGACCCTTTCCGCATGTAACTTGGGGCTTTTGATTATGCTGAGTTTTGAAACTGTATTTCTCTGTGCGATTTCCTCTCCCACTTTTAAATCCCAGCTTTTCTCTTCACTCCTAGTGGCCTTTCACTACAAAAACTAGCCTGTATTAAAGCTAAAGCTCGGTTTTACAAGTTCAGGGCTTTAATAGCAGTTGGAGAAAGACTTTTGGAAGTTACTTGAAACTGTACCAAAGCATTTCAGTAAAGTGTTTTATTCCGAATCATTATAGAGCTTCAGTGAGGAACAGCTTTTAAAACTTTGTGGTTGGGCTTGTAGCAGACAAGCCAGCTGTTAGTGAAGATTGAAGGCACAGTTAAACACTGGGCTCTCAACTAATTGAAATGCCCATTAAATGCGATGCAGTTCCATATGTTGTGTGCGCTTGATCAGCCTTCTGGCTGAGGGCATGTGTGCCGGAAAGCTCTTGTGTCTTTCCCCCGCTTCATCAGTCAAAGTTATTTCCTTATGGCCTACAGAATTTGCCTTTTCCATCTCCTTGCACCATAACAGGTTCCAAAAAAGCTAATATGTGGTTAGAAATGACATTTTGAAATGATAAATGTTGTTTTGTTGTGGGTTGGCTGAAGATAGGCATGTTGTTTTATTTTTTAAAGACAGGTGTTTCAGGGTAATCTTCATTTTCATAACCTGAGTATCTATAACCATCATACTTTCCAATTAAGTACTACGACCTTTTAAGGTGGGGTTATTGCTGTATAATTACACGCTTGTGACATCAAAATGTAGGAGAGGGTTTAATACATTACATCACCCTGTATAACTGCTGTTTACCAAATAGGATTGTATCAGTGGTACTTCTTTTTCCCAGTTTTGGATGTTACTGTTTTTATCCCTAAAAGAAAAAGTAGCTTTTTGTTTCTCAGTGTACACAGGGCTGCTTGCTCACCCTCCCTGGGTGGGATCACGAAGAAAATCAGAAAGAAAAGCATGGGAACTCATGGGTTGAGATAAAGACAGTTAACTAGTTAAAGCAAAAGCCACGCGTGCAACCAAAGCAAAGAGTTAACTTGCTGCTTCCCATCAGGAGGCAGATGTTCAGCCACTTCCAGGAAAGCAGGACTCATCATTCACAATGGTTTAGTGGGTTAAAAGCCTGTTTCTAGTAGCTGTCTACCCAAGTGGATGGAATTGGGTGTAGGAAACAAAGAAGTTTAGATATCCTATGTTTCTGTTGCTCAAGTAGTCTGGATGTTTGCCGCTGGATTGTGAAATGCATATTTTTTCCTCTTTATTGCTCCTTGGCTGTTAGCAGTGAGTAGGCAAAGTAATTTTTTTTTTTTTTTTGAGTCTTTAAGGAGAACTACATAACTAAACAAAATTATTGCAGTCACGCTGCAGCTCTGAAGAAGAGACAATACAGCTAATCTAATCAGGAGCTGCTGAAGAACTTGTGGGATTCAGCAATGTGAAAAAATGGTTGAGAATCCTTGATCCTAATGCAATGCTTAGCTCTAAATACTCTTTGGTCACTTAATAAATGTTCTTCACTCTGATGTTTTTTAAAATAAAATAACCTGGTATAAGTGTACTTACGCTGCGAGAGTTGTAAAATGTGAGTGGCACTCTGTAGCGTAATAATGTTCCTAAGGAAATTACCACTTTATGTTTTTTCTACAGGCTTTGATTCTGACAATTCTTCGGGAGACTTTTCAGAAGCAAATCATAAAGTCACAGAAATGCTCGATCTAGATCCGCACCAAAGCAATAGGACTGAAAAGCATAACGGAGAGACAGAGATTCAAGAAAATGGAATTAAGAGACACAGGTAAGCACACAGTACTGCATAATAAGCATGAAATGAGTATGTGCTGGCTCATGATCTCTTGGGGCATTGCTGTTCTCACCGTTGGAAGAGGTTATTCTCTGGAACAGAACACAGATTTCACCTGTCTGCTTCCTGTGTCAGCTGTGGGTTAATGCTTTGCTTTCTTTGTTAAGTACTTGAGTCCCTGTACATTAAAATATCTTGTTGTCTAAGGGGCTTATGGTGACAGTTCTTTTTTCCAATTACAGGACATCATTACCTGCCCCAATGTTTTCTAGGAGTGATTTTAGTGTGTGGAGCATATTAAAAAAATGCATTGGACTGGTAAGTTAGCCTAGATGAAATATGCTGATATTAAGTCTCCTAACTTCAACTCATTAACTGTACTGCTTAGAACTTGCCTACAGAATGTACCTGCTACCTTTTGCGTTCTTCCTGTAAGAAACTGAAACTCTATTGCCTTACTTGCTTTAGATGTTGGAGCATATGGTTTGGCATTTCTAATGCTGTTCTGAAAGAATTGGACTGAAGTCATTAAGAATGTAGTTCTTGGTGTTCTACACTGATGTCTTGCTGCCACAGATGCTTTTTGGAAGCATTAAGCAATTACATTCATATCTTCTCTAGGGCTGCCAGTGCAGTACCATGTGAATGCAACAGACAATTTTTTGCCATTTTAGTTTATGTCCTCTAAGAGAGAGAAATGCACTGTCTAAACTCCTTTTGTTAGGATGAGTACACATCTGCTAGAACAATTTGCTTGAACTAAATCAAGTTAGTTTGGAGTTGCTTTTCCTTAATGCCTGTGACAACGTGAGGAAAATGTTTTATTCCTGTCTGCTGGCATTCTCCCTTCCCCTAAGTTGTAAGCTGTGACTGAAGTGCTCAGTCATGAGTGCAACTTTTTTAACAACCAAACAGATTTGCTTGGATATGGTGTAAGACCTGGGAAGCTGGAAATCCGCCTGAACTCTCTCTGTCTTGTATCCACATGCGAAATGAGAAACATACTGACGCAAGGAACAGGTGGATTTAATAAAGCCCCTAAAATTTGTTAGAGCGCTTCAAATAGTATTCTTTATATAACTGTTCCTTTGAAAAAGAATTTGTGCTTCCTGCAGTAATCTAAAATAGTTAGATTTTATGCAAATAGGTACGTGAGGTTTTCAAAGGAATGTAGGGTACTTAAATACCTTTAATGAGCTGGTTGACACATCAGTGCTGCTATCTACATAAATTTAAACCTATTCTGTTTTAAGAAGAACACAGAACGGAAGGTAAATTTTTTCTTGAATTTAGTGGGTTAGCTGGATCAATTTTTGAAGGTTTTTTATTCTTTCAGGTTGCTGCTAAGTATCTGCAGTGCTTTTAACCCCTTCCAGCTATAGCAATTAGAGTTCTGCTGCAGCCTTGCTTAATGTCTTTTGAAGAATGCTACGCCAACATTTGTAGATGTAGAACTCAGTAGCATGGTATAGTGGTGCACTTGTCAGTGCTGCTTAAAGGTTGCACCAGACGATCTTAGAGGTCTTTTCCAACCCGAATGATTCTATGAACTAAACTAACCCACAACTTTTCAAAATTCTTCTCAGTTGATAACTTAGTATTGTGTCTAAAAAGCTAACGTATTCTTTTGTTACCTAGGAATTGTCCAAGATTACAATGCCCATTGTGTTCAACGAGCCATTGAGTTTCCTTCAGCGGATAACAGAATATATGGAACATATATACCTCATTAATAAGGCTTGTAGTCATGCAGACCCCTTGGAAAGAATGCAGGTAAGTACCAGCTACCAGCTTCTGTTTGGTTAGAAGTTGCTCTCTCCCAGTCACCTTTCATTTTCTAAAAAACATTGACTGGAGTGCGTTTCTTTTCTCTGGTGCTATCATAAGAACAAGGCCCTAACTTTTTCAGGACTGCTTTAACTGTGGCTCCTGTTATGTCTTTATTTGTTGTGAAAATGAGATCTTGGCTTTAAAACGTTTTAAGTTGATTTGTTCAGTGGCTCTGTGATTTTTAAGTTACTGGACGAAAAATTGTTGTGACAGAGACAAACTTCGCCATTCTTCTTCTCCAGACTGGCTGTTGTTCTGTTGTTCCAGTAACTGTTTTTTATTCTATTCGTTATGTGTAATCCCTGATTCTGTAGTACTAGGCTCACAACAAGAAACTGAATGAATATTGTGATACTAGGCCTGGGTGTTGCTTACAGCTCTGTTTTACATGAGTGAAATTGAGATGTACTACTTGTATTCTGTTTTTGTGTATGTAGTACATATCCCTACTTACCAGCCTGAAAGAGATTCTAAGATTCATTTGTATCTGCTAATATTTGAGAAACCTCATCCATGTTGGAAATGATGTGTGCCTGACCAAGTTTTTGGCCTTAAGCAATATATAGAGCTTTCTTTTGGTGCGAATAATAAAATACTGCAATATAGAACAAATACACTGAAATTACGAGTTTAATATACTGTTCTCATAACAATGTGTTTTTATTTGCTTATAGGCTGTAGCTGCTTTTGCAGTTTCTGCTGTAGCTTCTCAGTGGGAGAGAACTGGCAAACCATTTAACCCACTGTTAGGAGAAACCTATGAATTAACCAGGTAATAATTAAAGTGGGAGCTGAGGCTATTTGTGGGAGCACACTCTCATGCTAGTTTAGGTGTTTATTCAGGGAAATAAGTAAAAATCTACAAACATATATTTCTGACTAAAGCTAAAATAGTTTTCCCCAAACTAATTCTAAATATTTAAGAAGTTTCATAAAAGCTAATAATTTTGTGTTTATATATTCTTTGAATTATTCAGAAAAAAGGGGTCTAAATTCTTCTGCCAAAGACACCTGACCAGAGACTCTAAACTAATTTAAAGTGTGTTTTGCTGATCAGGTCAGGTAGAGGAGTTAGTCTGGGAGACTTACTGTGTGCTTAAATGAGTGATATGTACATGGTGAAGAAATCAATTTCCAGTCAGATCTTCTGCTGCTGCCCAAGCAGTTTCAGTGTTTTCAAGAGTTATTTCAGGCAAACTTCTTGAAAAGCCTTTCTGGGTAGAAAGCCACTTATCTGTTTGAATGGGGATTGTTTCTTTGTATAAAGAAGTGTTTAAAGGGGAAAAAGTATTAAGTGTATAATTGCTTTCATTTTATTAATTGTAAAAGTGTCATGGAACTAGAAAAGGGAAACTCTCATCTTCAGAGTAATCTAAAAATCCTTTTAAAAAAAAGTTACATTTTTATTCTGTAACAATAAAGAAAGAAAAGAGGTTGATCTATGGGTTAATGTTCTTTTTTTTTTTTTTGTGTGTTGCTAGGGAGGATTTAGGATTTAGGTTTATATCTGAGCAAGTCAGCCATCACCCACCTATTAGTGCATTTTATTCTGAAGGCCTCAATAAGGACTTTATTTTTCATGGATCAATCTATCCCAAACTAAAATTCTGGGGAAAGAGTATAGAAGCGGAGCCTCGGGGAACAATTACTTTGGAGCTTCTAAAGTGAGTATAAGAAGTCAATATCTTTTATGCTTATATCCTTAACACTTAACTTGAATAAAAATATAGGTGATGTCCTCCTTTTGGTTCTTCATTGATGAGTATCTGAAAACCTCTTGCTGAAGAGATGGTAAAAAATTATTTACAGGTTATTTTTCAATCCTTAATGTAAGAACTCTGGTTTTGGAATTATGCCATGCTTGTGTAGCTGTTGCAATTTGACCCAGTTTTTGCACCGTGAAAATTAACATTTCCTAAAATGGAATGCAATTGAAAGCTAGTTCTGTGAGGGCACTTAAAATTCAATCAGAACTAAAATTCTATTACCAGGCTATTCAAACTCGTTTCACTTTTAAATATTGTTGCTGGTTTTGATTGTTTGTGTGCATGTTTGGTTAAAAAGAACTGCTGCTTCGGATTAGCTGCTTTATGTGATGGTGAATGCAAGGAACTTGGGAGGATTTCTATCATCTATTTAATATTCCCTGTGTACCATCACTTTCCAAGTAAAATCATGAGTACCCTTCCAGGTTACGTGCTTGATTGGAGACAAGCCTAGCAGTCTCAAATAAGGCGACCTTGCACAAGCTGGTTTGTGCCCTGGTGGCACAAAGACTCTGGAGCTTTCCAAAATGGGTCACAAGCATGCACTACCACGGAACAAGCATTCTGCAACTGAACACTTAAAGGTGCTTTTCCAAAAGTTTTCCTCAGGCCTGACTTTGAGGTTGTTTTGAAATATCTTATGAAACTTCTAAACATTTGGTTTCAATAAAGAGGCAACTTGACTGCCGCATCAAGCATCGACTCTTCCTGTAGTTTCTTTTGAAAGCACAGTTTATTTGTCAAGCTGCTGGCATCTAATCTTCCAAAGCTTATAAAAGTACGAGCTGGTCTTGAATATAAATGGTGCTGTAAATAGAGGAAATTTCTTCTGAATGTAGAAGTAGCTATGAATCTCAATGTAGAATGCAGACTTGGCAAGAATATTTGGTGGAGGGAGAGCCTTTATGTAGAAGACTATTAAAATTCTTGCTCTGCCTAATCAAATCACAGTACAGATTTAAACCGGAGTGTAAACAACTAAAGCACTTGTTTTAAATATTTGCACAGGTTAGTAGCAGAAGCTGAGCTCAAATTTTGAGCCTGTTAATGTTTTGATTCATCCTGCTCTGTTGGTTTGAGCGGTCTGAGAATTACTCGGGGCCTGAGCAAAATTGTAGTCATTGTTAAGTACTGTATTTATGCTAAAAACAACTGTTTTCGGTGTGTTAGAAAACACACCTTCCTCGCTCCTCCAGCACAAACGAACGTTTCAATTTGTCTGCCCAGGGCATGAGTGTCTTCTGGTATATTTTATGCTACACAAGATTTTGCTGTCAAGTAGTTCATGAATAAAAATGTACACTAAGGCTGGTGCGATGCAGGCTTTTTTTTTTTTCCACTTGAAGAGTAGTCATTATTCTAAAGTATGCTTGAAGATAGTTTGCTGTGGAAAATAGTCAGACATCATTGATCTGTTTTTTCTCTGTGCTGAAAACTGACAGGTAGAAATATTTAATATGTGTGTTCTCTCCATGCTTAATGGAAGTAGAAGCACAAGGCATTTGTCACAGAGGACGCTACTTGTTTCTGTGTTTTTGGTACTAAAATAGAGTTTGCAAGCTTTTCTGAGATGGGTTGATTGCTAACCAGGTAACTTTTGTATTTCTTTTATCAGTATTGAAAGAGGCATAAGAATAGGAGGCTTTGATGCTGCCAGGCTAGTGATAAAAGGAATCCTGTTACTTAACATTTTGAATGTTTTTTAAGGGTTTAGGATCTGTTAACTCATCTTCGTAAAGCTTTTTACAAAATGTTACCAAACAAACAAAAAAAAGACAAAAGTAAGTGGAAAATTCCTCCATTTTTTGGACTCTTCCTCCTCAGTAAATCTTTGGGAGAAGGAAGGAATTGAATAATAAATTTGACATTTAAACATCATGCTTATGCGACTGAACGTAGTGCTGTCACATCCCAACTGATTTTAAACAAAAATTAATCTCACCCCCCCAAACCTGCCTTCGGTGAGGCCCACCTTCAGGCCTCACACACTGATGCTGTGTTTGTGGAAACCATTTCTGCAGTTTTCTGACTCCTATTGTACTTCTCAGGTTCAAAAGCCTTTACCACCCACAGTTTGTATGAAAAATTGCCTGAATGGTTAGTCTGACCGACCCTCGAGTGCTTTTGTCAGGTCTGGTGGTGACTAACCTCTGCTGGAAGACTCAGACATCCATCTTCAGTAATAAAAATAACCTCTCTAGGTTATGGTACAGGTTTACAAGAAAGCTTTAGGGTAAAATTTGCAATGCTGCTGCAGTAGCTGAATAGAAGACAATGTTAGGCTTTGTCTGTCCAGTTCTCATCTGAGCATTACCTGTCACGTATAGCTTTAAAAGCGCAGAAGAAGATGTATTCCTGGGCTGCTCTTTAAGCTGAGCTGGAATTTGTAATCAAAAGTGCAGCAACTATAAAAACTGACTACTTCAACTATGTAACAGGGAGAAAAGTAAAGGGGATATCACTTTATGAACTCACACTAATGTTTACATACAGCACATTGTTGGCTTATAAAGAAAAGTCTGTTTCTTTTCTGTTTTGAAGTTAACTGCGGGCTGTTCACAGGAGTGCTAAATATTTTGCCACAAATAGAATTGTAATAAGGCTTACATTCTGCCTCAAGCTCAAGAACCTGATTTATTTCTCTACTCATGTTTTTTACAGACATAACGAAGCCTACACGTGGACAAATCCAACCTGTTGTGTACATAATGTAATTATTGGTAAACTGTGGCTAGAACAATATGGAACAGGTAGAAATTGTAAATCACAGGTAATGCTGACCATGGAACTGAGGGCTGGCTTATGGGGCTGGTGCATTGTTGTTACAAAGCAGATACTTTTAATTTTTCTCAGATATGCACAGACCTTTATAGGTCTGAAGACTTTTTTTTTTTTTTCTACCTTCTGGCAAATGCAAGCTACTCAGTGGATTGGGCTTAGCATCATCATAATATAAAAGGAAAAGGGCTAAATGGCTTATGGGCTGCAAAGGTTTTACATTTGAGAGTTACCTATTCACGTTCAGCCTTATTGACAACGGACAGAAATTAGATTTAACTCCAGAACCATTAAATGGAATAATTGTTGGAGGCTTGCAGTAGAGACCTCCCGTTGATTGACCTGTTGATTGTGATTTACCACTCACTTTAGTTTTAATAATAGAGAATGCCTTAATTTAAGGGTGCAGCACAGAAAAATGACTGCAGAGTAGGAAAATGTGAACTTAAAGCGTGTCAATTGCTCTGCCAACTGCCTATGTAAAAGCTTTTTACCTTACAGAAAATAAAAGAGAGAATGACCTCATGTAAGAAGAGAGGATTTTATGAAAACTATTAATTCTGCACCTGTTTTTCTGTCAGTAGATTAGAGCTTTAATTCAGCAGGGCTGCTGGTTTGATGCTTCTCATCACATCAGATCTAAGTTTCTGTCTCTTGCATTCATACATCCATGTAAGACTTGGGATGGTCTCTGTTTGCTTTGTGCTTAATGTAGCAACTTGGTCAGAAACCTCCCTGGGAGACAGTATTTGCACGTGTACCTCTCAGATGCTGACAGTATAATGTTACTTTGTGTTTGTAAAATATTTAGTTCAGAATTTTTGATGTGCAATTTCAAGGTGACTCTTGAATGCCATTAACAAGATTCCCTGTGTAGGTCATTCATAAAGCTTTATTTAATTCCAGTTAGTTGTAAACAGATGTTAACCTGGACCTTGGTGTGTTAATAGTGTATGTTAAGCTGTATGCAAGACTGTATTCCATTTTATTCCTTACATTTTTGGTTAATTTTAGATATGCATGAAATTCAGAAGCATGGTCGTGTTTTCAGTTGGCTTTCACAGGCTTGTCTTCCTGTGTGCATTTTCTTTTTTTTTTATGGTATTTTGAAATGCCCTAATAAAATAATAAACCATAGTTAAATAAAAATAATGATATAAATAATTAATCCACAGTGCTTGCATAGAAAAAGCTAAAATAAGGTGTAGTTAAAGAAAAAAAAAGTGCATTTATTAATGTATCTCGGGGCTTGCTTACTTAAGTGTGTGCTTATTTCCTCTACAGTACTGGAGATAAATGTGTCCTTAACTTTAAACCGTGTGGACTGTTTGGGAAGGAGCTTCACAGAGTAGAGGGATACATCCAGGACAAAAAGTAAGTGATAAATTCCTGTTGGCCTCTCTGTTTCTGAGCACCGTGGCATTACTTTAGTGCTGGACCACAACTGATGTGACTGCAAAGTTGATAGCAATGCAGATTATAATTATTTATTCTCGGCATCGATTTTAAACTCCTTGATTCAAGGATAAGCACCTTAAGCATTATTAGGAGAAATTTTCCAGTTCAGTCATTTGAAATAAAGGTATTCAGGGAATATGCAGAGTAGTTGCAATTGATTTCACTGTTTCACAGTCACGGCTCCAGTCTTCAGTTTAAAAGAATGAGAATACAGTTATTGGAAGTACTTAATCAAACCTGAAGCTGTGATGTGACTCTGGGAGTCTATATGGTAAGCTGCTGGCTTCACTGTACCCACACTCGTTTTAACAGTAACAAAAAGCATGTGACTAAGTCATGAGGATGCATTCTGCAAGACTGTGTAGCAGAAAGACTAGAATAAGGTGAATTGTTTTCTTTGCGTTAATCAGGTTATCTTGCTACTAAGAAATTTTGCAAAGAAATATAAAATACAACAGTAGGAAGTTGTGTATTTAATATAGACTAGAATCTGAATGACTCACCTTAGGCTTTGTAAGAAGCAAAAGCTAAGTCTCCTTCGCTCTCTCTGCAGCAAAAAGAAGCTGTGTGTGATCTATGGCAAGTGGACAGAATGCTTATGGTGCACTGATCCCACTACATATGAGACTTACAAAAAGAATGAAAAGAGAGGCGGTGAACAGAAGAAATTGAAGCCGGTAAGATGAAGGATTCTTTAGGGAGTAAAGAATGCTTAAGTCAGTTATGTTGGGCTTGCAGCCTTCTAGAGTTTGTGATGCAGGCAGCCTTGACAACAAAGGGGTCTGGAGACTTGTGGGTTTTTTATCACTTGTAGACCAGGTCAGACAAGTTACTCCCAAGCCTTAGTGTTAGAAGAAAAATGCAAAATGCTGTATGGTGCAGAGGACTGTTGTGTTGCCCAGTGTCAACAGAAGTCTTGCAAACCCTGGTCATTCATACAAAATGAAAATGATAACTAAAGTTAAGAGTGATTAGCTGCTGTTTAAGAGGCCTGAGCTTTCTTTTAGATATTCACGAGAGGAATCTAGAGCAACAACAGGCCTTGGTTTTTTGCTCTGGATTCTGTCACGGTGCAGGTTTATGTTTTGACTTTTTTTAAATAATAAGATTTTGTTCATCTTAAGAAAATCAACTCTTTCTTTCCTTCCTTCCTGCTGAATTTATATTTAGATGGGGAACTGCATGACAGTAAACCAGATGTTGACATGGAAAGTAGTCAAAGAGAGTCTTTTAGAACAGTGTCTACTCAAACCAAAGGATTGAAATTAGAATTTTAACCGTATGGAGCTATTTTCCAGTGTATAAAACAGGCTCTCTTTAACTTAATGGGGTGTTTTTGAATAAAACAAATGAGCCATGTCAGAGGAGGCAGAAGGAAAATAAAAGGGGAGAGGAAAAAGCGATGCTGTAACTCTAGAATGTTCTTGCCTCTTCTCCTCTGGTTGGTGTGGTTTTAAATCCGTTCTCGTGGTGAAATCCTCTGAACTCTCACAACATGGCTGTGTGCTAAGACTGTCAGATTCTCCTCTGGTTCAGGCTGATGGCAGGAACCGAACACGCAGAAAATAAGTTTTCAGGCAGGTGGGGAAAGCTGCCCTGTGATCTGTGGTCTGTGCAGTTCAAGTAGGTGAAAACACATCTGGTGGTACAGCTTGACAGCTTGTGTTGTTTGGCCTGATCCTGTGCAGAATGAATGCTTAAGTTGTGTGTGCTCTGCTTGCTTTTCAGCTGTACAAGGAAGATGTTATTTTCCACTGTGTTCGTGCTGTGTGCAGCCTCTTTCTTTCCTCTAACTGCTTACAGAACAAGCTTGTATTTTCTTCCTAAAATAGATAAAGCCAGAACAAAAGTGATTGAGGTCTGTGGAGTGAACAGTGGAATAAAAATAGTGAGGTGATCAAATAAAACTCTTCATTCTGTTTTCCACCCCCATGCAGCATTTTGAAGTGACAGTCCAGCCCGACTAGACTGCCCGTGCTGACACATGGCTGTCTTTAACTGTAGCACCAAGAATGGGAATGCTGGCCACAACCACGGAAAATAGACTTTTTTTTTCTTTTTTAGCTGTTGAGTTCTTAGTGCAATTTAGGCAGCATGTTCATTAATGTAAATGCACTGAGGCGAGGTGTGAGTCCTGATGTGAAGAAGTGGCTTGTTTTAGGTTGAGGTAGATGGAATTGGTGAGGCCTTCTGTCACATTAAGCACCTAGTTTAGGAAGTTAATTATTCTGCCTCCACAGAGGCACCAGGAACAGCAGGGAATTTTAAGTGGCAGCTACTTCAAGAAAAGAACAGGAAAAATAAGTAGAAGTAAAAGCAGGGTTAGAATGTCAGCCTGCATTAATGTCAGGGGGTCCTGTAAAGGCTCACTTGGTAGCAGAGAGTTGTACCGAAGGTCCTAGGCAGAAGTCAGCAGCTGTGAGTGACAGGAGGAATCATTTACAAGGACATAATTGTCTTTTTCAATGACACTCTTAAAGGTCCAAGTAGCTTCTGAGATGCGTATCTGACCTAGAGCGGGGATAAAAAGGCTTTTCTGTGCTTGGAAGCCTAAGAAATCACTGCGTTCCTATAAGAGCTGCAAGCCTTCTCTGTTGTCCTTCCACTTCGAGCAATGAAAGGGAGCTGGGAGTAGGTCTGCTGTGACTTGGTCTTCTGAGAGCAGCCTGGTGAAGAATGTTGCATTTGATTTTATGAAGGAACTTGAAGAGAGAGACACCATGTTTTTAACTTCAGTACCAAGTCTTCATAGTGAGAGAAGTGGCAGTGATAACAGCTAATAGAATCTGTATCATAGAAAATCAGATTGGAACAGGAGCGTATCTGGTTTTCAATCCCACATACAAATCTTCTGCAAGTGATGAAGCAATACCCAAAACCATGCGTGTGCTGTTTATCTTTCTTATGCCATTATGAGAACTGGTTTAAACTGCTGCCTTGACTCATCTAAACCTGAGGAAGTAATAGGCAAAATTAGTAGTTAGACAAAATGAAGCTCTGGCATGGGATAGAAGGGAAGCTCATTTCTGAAAGACATTACTGTTATGTTTTTTTAATGGATGATGAAGCTGCACATAGGTGGTGAGAGACTCTTCTATATTAGAAGCAAGATGTTAAGATGAAAGTTGGAGGAACAGTGTAAAGAATGAGGAAAAGCAAATGTGCAGGGTGATGCAGCAGTACAGGAGCAAGAGTAGCATCTCAAATCTGAACGGGCTCCCCAGCAGTCACCCTGTAGAACCCTAGATGAAACTGTTTAATTTCCCTCTGTTCCTCTGCCAAATGTTATCTCTATTTCAGAGTGAAGATGTTATTAAATCTGAAAATGATGAGGCTGATGATATGCCAGAAGTTCAAGACACCGTGCAGTTTGTGCCAGGCAGCAAATTGCTTTGGAGGATAAATTGTAGACCACCAAATTCATCGCAGGTAACTGTTTCCATCAGTCTGTGTGTTCCTATTAGTAGTGACTCATCCCAGGGAACATGAGCAATGCTCAAAGGAAACCTTGGAGAAGTGTCTATCTGTAGCATGCCTATTGACACATCCTGGCAGTTCTTGCTACAGCAGCAAAACTAAACTACAACAAACTGTCTGCTTCATCCCTGTGCTGAAAGCATCACTCCTGTGTCAAAGGAGACAGAATGCGTGATCTGCCTGCAGCTGCTTCAGAGTGGAGTTTGGGGTCATTTGTTTGTCTGATCTGTCAGGATCTTTGCACCTGGAGTGGCTAAAGTATGGCTGCATGTTCCCTTCTGCTGACCCTGCCGTTGGGAGACAGGCTTACAAAACGTGCAGTAACCGTGCATCTGGCTATTAACTTACATAGTTTCAAGTAGACTTTTTGGAAATTGCACAAACAGGTGCTTACAGAATTAGATTTTGCCTTGAGAAAGCCCAGAATATTGTCCTCTGAAAGGAATGAAGGAAAGGATGTCTGCTTTCCTGAGAAAAACGACTTGCTTTTTTAGTTTTAGGTGTGGATTCTTTTTTTTTTTTTAATCACTGTACTAAGTATCAAGCATGAGGAAAATGCATCTTTATCTTCTGCAGCAAAGCCTGCTTAAAAAATTAAAGGTGTGATTTCCATTCTCTTCTGCCCTTCCTTGTTGCTCCTGCCTTCTCTCCACTTAAAAAATTAAAATAAGTCAGTTTTATTTGGGACTAAACTTGCTTTCAGGGTAGCCAGAGGGAAAAGGTTTGACTCAATAATTTCTCTTGGAATCTTTGTTGTGTCCATTCAGTATAGGAAACTTAGTGCTACTTTGCCAAAATAACCTGTATTTAATTTGCTTTTAAGATGTACAATTTCACCAGTTTTGCCGTGAGTCTCAATGAACTAGAGAAGGGCATGGAAGCAATATTGGCTCCCACCGACTGTCGGCTACGTCCAGACATCAGGAATATGGAAAACGGAAACATGGGTATGTGTTTGCTGGAGGAAATACTTTAACATTACTAAAATTTGGGAGGAATGACTGGAGGGATATAGGAACACTGTCTTCAGTTTCTCATTCCCAGAGCAGCCTTAACTTTATTTCATTCTGTGCTAACGAGTATGCTTTTGAACAACTGTGCCGTGTCTGTTTTCTTTCTGAAATGCCTGGGAGAGCAAGTGTGTCCAAGAGGGATCCCGAGACTGCTGCCCTGGGTTACAGTGTGTTTGCATGTTTGTTTACTTGGGGAAAACTGCCAGACCTGCTGTCCTGCTCTCACGTTTGTTGGGAAGAACACAAGATGAAATAGTGGAAAAAGCACTGTTATGCGCATTGTAGATTAAATTCTTCCCTGGTGTCTGAGTGCAGTATTTCTGAAAGATAAAAGGCCATAATTTCAGTTTGTAGTCACAACTTTTCTGAAATGACAGTTTTACATTTGCAACCTGCAGTTGTCATTGTGGAGTGAGATTGTGTACAGCGAATGGCTTCTCTTGTTTAAATGAGCTGTGTTTTATTTCTCTGCAGTCTTTTCCATTTTTTTCTGCATTTTTTTTTTTGTTTCAATTTTACTAAATAACCTATTCCTATTGAAATGTTTGCTAGATGTGGCTAGCAAAGAGAAAGAGAGGCTAGAAGAGAAACAAAGAGCTGCTCGCAAGGAGCGTGCAAAAGACGAAGTGGAGTGGCAGACACGGTAAGGAGGAGGGAGTTGGGCATTTACTGCTTGGAGTGGTGGGGTTTTGTTGCCTGAAATGTTTTTATTCAAGACAACGTGTGTTTGATTTCTTTCATGACAGCACAATTTGTAGTGTCACTTAAAGCATTTGCTGGGTCAATATTTAAATAATGTAGCTGGAAGGCAAAATTGCTGATAATTTTGTCCTAGAGAAATTATTTTATAATAAATGCTGCAACCTGTCATAAGTAACTGGTAATGCTGGGTGGTTGGCATTTATTTTTTGTTGGTGGTGGTGGTTGTTTTTTTTGTTCTAAAGCCTATGGAGGTCATCTTTTTTGATAGAATAAATAAAAAGTTAAGTCTCATCTCTCCTTTAACCAATTTCTGTCCAGCTTGGAAGTTGAGTAACATGTTGTGGCTCTCTAGGACCTTTTACTTTCAAACTCCTTTGGATTTCTTGGCTTGGTTACTTCAGAAATTGCATTTTTTATTGCATAAAATGACTTCTCAGTCATAGAGTGCATCGCAGTGAGGCATGATTTGGCTCCTGTTCCTGCTGGCTGTTCCTCTCAGGAGCTAGTGCTGTACAGTAAGGTGTACGCTGAAGGCCAGCTGCTGCAGGTGTCTCCTTCAAAGGCAAGAACTCTGGGCTGCTCTGAAGATCTCATGGAATTCAGCATTCTGTTTCCAAAGCCTGGGGAACAGTTACAGGACTAATTCCAGTTAATGCCTTTGAAAATCTGTTGGAAAATGTAGGAAGTTTAATGCCCTATTTTTCATGTTTGAAGATTTACAGAGTATTTTTTTTTCCAGTAAGAAATACCAGTGTCTTTTAACAACATTCTTGTGAAAGTCTTTTTTTGTTTGTTTCTTTCCACTCTTCTAACAGTTTGCCTTCTTTTTATTATTTTTTTCACAGATGGTTTCATCAAGGCACTAACCCATACACTGGGACTTCAGATTGGCTGTACTCAGGTGGCTATTTTGATAGAAATTTCTCAGACTGTCCAGACATATACTGAAATTATGGAACCAATTGCTCATCTCATCTGGACATCACTAGATTTCATTCTAAGCCAGTTACTCTGGTTTTGTTAATAGCAAAAAACAGCTTTTCTAAGTAAATTTTAACAAAACATCAGTCAACAATCAAGGATTTAATTATCACTAATGTTGGATTGCCAAATATTTAAATACTGTTGCGTTCTTCCCATAAAGCTGCACCCGAAATCATCATGTTTTCACTAATTTTTAAAGGGACCTTTGGTTCTTCATTTTTTTCCACCCTCATTTTTGTCAGGAAGGTATGCTGTATCTGGTAGAGCTCATAACATCCTTGAAAACTGTGTAACTTTAATAAAATAGAGATAATATCCTCTTAGTACAATAGTGAAGAATCTGAAGTCTTCTGAACTTGGAGCAGGGATGAAAAGTTGATATGGTACCAACGTGATAAAATCTAGTACTGTTCCTGTGAAGAGATGCATGTGAAACTTTCATACGGTATGTAGCACTATACGGGGATTGGAGCTCCTGGCCCCTCTCTCTCAACATGATTTAATAATTCAAAGACTTGGAGAAACAAGAAACAACTTTAGCTTCTCAAACTGTAGTTGTCTGTTACAGAGTCTTCACAATTTTTGGACACTGTGAGCATTAAGCTGTATACCTGTGATAAAATTACATAAAAGTATATGTTAAGAGAAGAGAAAGGTGCATTAAAAATTGTGTGCTTTTTCTGAAGTCAAATGCTGTTCTGAAAATAAGAGAAGCTTCAGAAGCAATTGTAGGAATGTAGAGGTGGTTACAATGTAAAATATATTGCTTGCTACCACTTGGAGGCTTAGATCTTCCACACTACTTTTGGCAGCTTTGGCACTGTGTACGCTTCTAGACTAAACTTTTATTTGGAAGCACTTGGTATATATATCCACACAGGTTCATATTTCCAGGATGTTTTTGTTTGCATGTTTTTTCTTTATTAGGTCATGTCTGTTTTGTATGTTGTGAAAAAGCAGAATCAATTTAAAGCTGTGGCATAGTTATACCTTTTACATGTTTTCTGTGAGCACGTAATGTCATAGACGTGGGATTTTTTTGTTCCATATCGAAACATCGAAGCCAGATAATATTGGACATAACTGAGCTACAGATCAATTACTGAACTGATGCATTCATTTTCTTTCAAAGTGGTATACTTCTTGGGGGGGAGAGGGGGAAAGGAGGCTTGAAAACTTAGGTCCAGTAATTAAAACTAATCCTACGGTTGTTTGTTCTTTTATGAAAGCTTCTAATCGAGTAACTAGGCAAAAATGGAGAGTGGCTACACTACTGTTAGGTTTACGGTAAAATTCAGCAATTGCTGGTGTTGACCATCAGCACCTTGAGGAATATGTAGAAGAATCAATCCAACTGATGCCTAAACACATTTGTGGCTTCATCGAAAGAGTAGATTGTTCTTCCATCCCAGCTACAGGATTAAAAAGCAAAAGAAAATGCACATACAGAGAGAAACATTTTTGTGCTCAAAGTAAGCATCTAATGATTGGATTAACTTTAAATTGGGGGGATTTTGTTTTCTTCCTCTTTGGAAAAATGGGAGAAATTGTAAAATTTCAGGGCAATAAAAAGGGCCAAATCTGAACATGCTCATGACAACTTTATTCCGTTGTCAGAAATCATGCTTTGAGCTGATTGCAAGTTTTTCAAACACACGAGCTAGACATGGTAATAAGGTTCAGACAGTAAGTTTGTATTTTCTCCTAATAAATGCATAGACACTTTTAAAAAGTCCTTGCTGATCTGTATGGGACAGCATAAAAACACTTTCATCCTTTTTATAAAAAATGGATTTTAATGAGTGTTCCAAGCACTGTAATCCTCCTTGCAGACTCCCTGCAAGCTGACTGGGGAGCCATTTATATTGGATGAGGATTGAAAATATTCAGTTTAAGCCAGTTTAACATCTGGGAGTTTAAAACTTGCTTGAACTAAATAATATGTTTAAAGTTTGAGTCATGTTTCTAAAACAATACATATAAATAGAATTACCAGAATGGAAAAGAGTAATTGCTAAAGAAATACTCTGGTTTTGAGAAGGAATGTACAGGTTAGCATCTCTCTCCTCTAGGTTGTAATTCTAATTCAAAGAACTAAACCCTTTTCATTATGCAAAACCAGAGACAAATGTAACAACACGTTTAATCAAAACTTCAGGATAGCATTTTCATGGAATTTAAAAATGAACTGGAAAGGTTTCTAAAATAAGAACACTTCTTTAGTTATGTCTTTTACCCCGTTCTCCCCTTCCCTTAGTGTAATGTTCTTAGTGAAATTTCAGATTGGTTCCAAATCTGTTCTTTTAATTTATTGTTCTTCATTGAAAGCATTAACAAAATATTTTCTCATTGCTGCCAAAAAAAATTATGCCTGGCTAGCCGTGGGATGCCTAAACCACATTGTGATTGCTCTGAAAGTGAAAAAGTTTTATTTTAAATGCAGATCTCGCCTCAGTAGTTTACATGTCAAAACTTTAATAACTTTGCACCTTTTAAAAGAATGTCACTTTTATAACTTGATTAAACACTGTATATAAGATAAATGTGTTAGTATATGTTAATACGACTATGTAGAGAAACCATCTAGAAAGAGATTATAATAAATACTTAATTCCCTTTGGGCCTCTAGGTGGTGAGAGAGAGGTTTTTGTGAAGTGAGACTCGCGTTCTAGGGCAAGAAAACTGTTGGGGATGGCTCTGGCTTTGCTGCTCGGCCACAGCCGGGTCCCTTTTTGTTATCACGGTGATGCTATCGGGCAAAAAGCGATTTAAATCGCAGCTTGGGACCCACTGTGGTGTCCTGTGGGGGACCTGTGGGGTGAGGGGTGAGAGCAGCCCCTGGGGTGAGCTGTGGTGATCTGTGCCCTCTGTCCAGGGACGTGCCCAGGGCCGGGGCTTTTGCTGAGTTGTGGTGGGAGGAAAAAATTAAGTGTGTGACTTTTCAGTTGTGTCTTTGAGGCGATTTTAGCTGCAGGGGGGGAGCAGCTGCTTGCAGACATCGGCCTCTTATGGAATTGGTGTTAACCCAAATTAATGCAGATGGGAAGTGTATCCCCTAAATTAGCCAGGAAACAGGACTAAAAAGCACTATTTACTGCTGTTTAGTAACTGACACCTACTTCTCATCAACATTGGGTTTCAAATCGGAATTAAAAAAGAAAATCCCTCCCGGCACCGCTCAGGTAACTGCCTCCCAGAGGTGTTACCCCAGGCCTCAGCCCTGCCCGGCCCCGTGCACCCCACAGCCTCTCCCTGAGTGGGATTTACGTTTAATAAACGGCATTTTATTGACTTTTATTGAACATCTCTGTTTCCACACAGGGCCGCGCGGCCCCTCAGAGGGGGGGGGGGGATTTGGAGGGGGGGAGGGGCAGCGCCGCCATCTTCCCGCCGTGATGACACAGCAGGCGGGGGAGGGGCGGGCCGCCGCTTGAGTGACAGCCGCGCCTGCCCAACCGCGGGGGGTCGAGCGGGGTCCGCCCCGCCCACTTGTGGGCGGGCTTCCGGAGCGCGGGGCAGGAAGCGGCAGCGGCGCGGGGCCTGAGGCAGACGGCGGCGGCAGCGGCGGCGGCAGGTACCGGAGGGGGGGGTGGGGAGCGGGGCCGGGCCCTGAGGGGGCTGAGGCGGCCCCGGGCCCTGAGGGGAGGCCGCGGGGCTCGGTGAGGGCGGAGCGGGGCCGGGCGGCCTCGTCCCGGGTCCCTGAGCGCTCCCCTCACCCCCCCGCCCCTCACGGCCGCAGGATGTCCTCGGGCGCGCTGTTCCCCAGCCTGGTGCCGGGCTCCCGGGGCTCGTCCAGCAAATACCTGGTGGAGTTCCGCGCCGGGAAGATGGCGCTGAAGGGCAGCACCGTGACGCCGGACAAACGGAAAGGGCTCGTGTACATCCAGCAGACCGACGACTCCCTCATCCACTTCTGCTGGAAGGACCGCGCCTCGGGCACCGTGGAGGACGTGAGTGGGGCGCCCAGGGGAGGCCTCGGGCCGCGGCACCGCGCAGGGAGCTCCCAGGAGGGGATCCGAGGGCAGAGGGGGTCCCCAGGGGCTGGCGGAGCCGCGGGGCTTTGGGACGGACGGGAGGAGGGCAGGGGGCTCGGGGAGGCTGGAAGTGACATCCCTGTGACGCCTGCTCCTCCCTCCCGCCGCCTCTTCCAGGATTTGATCATTTTCCCCGATGACTGCGAGTTCAAGAGGGTGCCGCAGTGCACGACCGGCCGCGTGTACGTATTGAAGTTCAAGGCGGGATCCAAGCGGCTCTTCTTCTGGATGCAGGTTTGTGGCAAGTAAACGGTAAAGGTCCGGGGACGACCCGCTGCCAGCTCGCCTTGTACCAAGAGCGGCTTCCTTGCAGGAACCGAAGACTGACAAGGACGAAGAGCACTGCCGCAAAGTGAACGAGTACCTCAACAATCCCCCAATGCCCGGCGCTTTGGGTGGGAATGCGAGCGGAGGCCACGAGCTCTCGGCGCTGGGAGGTACAGTCCGTTCCCTGCTCTTCCGCGCGAGGCCCTTGTTTAGAGTTAGCACTTGTAGCTCCTTAGGGAGGCATTGAGACATTCCTGCTAGCTTTGGAGGGTGAGTTGGGGACAATGTTAATGCCAGAAGTATAAACGGGCTTTTAGCAAAATAAACTGCGCTGTTGTAATAGGTGCAGGCTGAAAGTTAAGACTGCCAGAAGAAGGAGCTTGATTCTAGCAGATTCTCTGGAGTCTTACCTTTTTATGAAGCCGAGTTGCATTTATCTTTTATGAGCATCATGAATCAGTAAACACTTGAAATTGTTTTTTCCGTACAGAATGTGATGCCAATTAATCTCCTGCTGTTTGAGCCGGAGTGCTGTGAAAAAAACCTCTGTGAATATGTTGTGTTTCAGAATGTTTTTGTTTTTAGGTGAGGGTGGCTTGCAAAGCCTTCTTGGAAACATGAGCCATAACCAGCTCATGCAGCTGATCGGACCAACGGGCTTAGGAGGACTTGGTAAAATGCTTTAATATCTTTATGCCAAAATGGTATTTTCTCCTGCCAGGTTAAACCTTACCTGACGATATTTTCAAGTAGTGCTATTGATCTGAATAGCGCTTCTTTCCCGTGAAAAAGCAGCAAGGCCCTGCCTCAAACGTGAGCTGTGGGGCAAAAAAAAAAAAAAAAAAAAAAGGCAGGAAATGAGGGGTACCAAATCCAGATGGCACTCATCTTAGGGTGCTGGCTGCAAGGAATGTAGGCTCTGCTCCTTGCTCTGCTGAATCTTCTGCCTTTTTTTTGTTGTTGTTCTTGTTTTTAAACCCCTTCCTCTTCCTCCTAAATATTCACTGGAGCAGGAACTGAAAACCAGGGGCTCCCGGGTGAACGTCCCAGCTGTGGGCTCTGGCTTGCATCGTCTCTGATCCAGTGAATATTTGTTTGCAGAGCGGAGTTCAAGAGGAAGGTTGGAGCGTACCCGCCCTGCAGCAATGTGTAGTCAGCTTAGGGCTTTTTCTTCTGGGGAGAGCTTGAACCACTGCTCTGCTTTTCCTAAAGGGAGTTAGAGGGGCGCTGGAGTCACTGCAGCGGTGTTCTCAGCGCTGCCCGTGCTCCAAGGCCAGCAGAGCATTTACTGAGAAATCAGACCCCGGAAGGCAAAGGAATACCTAGCAGCAGGTGGCAATGACTGAGGTTCTGTGCGTAAGCTCCAAAGTCCATCTTTGTGGCTCTAGCAGTAGTGTAATTAATTGTAGGCTTCAGATGCAGATCTGGCGCTGGTGGGATGTTCAGATGCAAATCTAACGTTAGCGTTGGAAGGTTCTGACTTCCTAGGATGTGTTTGGAAAAGACCTTCTTGCTTCCTTCTTGAAGCTTCACGTGACTCCTGAAACTTCCTTCCTCTTATTCTCAACACGTTTTTTCAGCAGCTCTTCTTTCTTTGCCTTTACATCTAGCCGTAAGACAGCTCGACACGTAACTCAGAGCCATCTGCTTGCCTCAGCAGGCAGTGGTTGTGGTGAGTCCGTGTGGATCTCTTCCCTGGGTAGCATCGGGTTCTCTGACATCTGGTTTGCATCTCTTGGGACTTTGCTTCTGTTGCAGCTCCTGGGTAAACTTTTCTGAGCGAGGCCAAGCTGGGCAGAGCAGCACGCGGTGTGGCCTGGTTGTTTTTTTTGTCACCCTGGTGTTCCTGCTGCTGTGGGAGCGAGCACAGGGCAGGCCCTGCAGGCTGGGTTCCACAATTCTGGGGCGCTCCTGTACAAAGCACGGAGCGCATGAGGGCAGCAGGTGGCTGCAGCTTGCTCCTGACCGCCTGCGGTCTGTTGATCAGGGTGCTCAGAGCGCTGCTGTTCTGCCCTCCCTGCCTGCAGAAATTTCCCAGGAGCTGGATGATGAAGGCAGGGTAGAAAAGTGCGTCCAAGCAGCTGTGGTGCGAGAAGGCACCGAATGGGAGGCGTGTGATGAACGTTTGCTGATCATGGCTCAGAGGGATTGTAGGGGACAGTTGGTCACTGACAGCTCCGCTGCACCCAGGAGCTGAGCCTCTCCCCAGCTCCTCAGCTGGTGTTCGTGGGGCTGCAGCAATTCCCTGGTGGCTGGACGTGGTGTGGGTGAAGGAGGCTCTGGGCTGATTTCTTGGCACGTTGGCTGAAGGTCCGGTGGTGGTTTTCTGGTGGTTTCCTGCTGCGTTTCTCGGTCACTGTCCTGGGAGCACGTTGGTTCTGTGCAGGGTTGTTCTCACTTGGCTCTGCCTGGGGGGCGTTGAAGGACTCTGCTGCTGCTGCTACATCTCTGCGTTAGGTGTGAAGCTGCAAAAACTGCAGGTATGGGGGGGAGGCAGCAGTGGTGCCTCAGGGGCTGCCTCTGCAGTCTTCTGGGGGCCTTGGCTTTAAAATTTACGGACTGGTTGGATTTTTGGAAGCTAGCAGATAAAGGGAGAGAGAAAGAGCTCTGTTGCAACAGTCAGGCGTGTACGGCACGAACCGAAGTCATTTCATCCTTGTGTACATCCAGAAATTGAGTAATTTCTAAAACATGCAAGTAAGGCAGGTTTCTAACGGGGATGCAAGCTCAGGTAACGAGAGCTGTTTAGTTACAGAGGGAGTGGGTGGGGGTTGGTCTGGGCTCTTTCACCCCCTCCTTTATTTTAGCAATAAAACCTTTCAGGTACAAGAGTGACCTCTCTGGACCAGAGAGGTGTGGGAAACCTGAAAAGAAACAAATCTCTAAACCCCTTCTTCTCTTATGTTTGCGGAAGGTGGGCTGGGTGCGCTGACAGGTCCCGGGCTGGCCAGTCTGCTTGGAAGTGGGGGACCCCCGACCAGCAGCTCCTCATCAAGGTAGGGCGCCCCTGTGCTCCCAGTCTGGAGCTTCTTCCTGAATTCCTGCTGCTCACATGGGAGGAATTGTGGCCAACTGAAGGGAAAAATGATGGGAACTAAGACTGCTTGTTACCTCACTTAAATGAGGATACTGATTTTCGTTGTATTTTGAAAAGAAGCTTTTTGAAAAGAAGAGGCAGAGCTGTTTTTGCAGGGAATTAACTTCCGCGCTAATTGTCTTTCCAGCTCTCGCAGCCAGTCAGCTGCTGTGACACCATCTTCCACGACTTCTTCTACGCGCGTCACGCCTGCCCCGTCCGTTCCTGCGGCTGCCTCCGTGACCAGCCCGAGCCCCGTCCCAAGTTCGGGTAACGGAACCAGCTCGGCCACGAGCCCGACCCAGCCCATCCAGCTGAGCGACCTTCAGAACATTTTAGCTACCATGAACGTGCCGTCTGGAGCAGGAGGGCAGCAAGGTAGCGGTGTTCTGGCCAGGCAGAGCTGTTTTTACTGTCCTGTCCTGTTCCAAATGGGTTTGAAAGCTCTCTTAAATGTTTATATATTTATTTATTTTGAGTGCTGATCTTCTTGGCTGCTTCAGGAATCTTATCCTCACTCCAGAACTGAGAGAGGGAGGGAGATGGCAGCAGTGTGCTAAATGCCTTTCAGTACTCTGCTGAAACACTGGTTTATATGACAAGATGTGGGGTTTGTCTGTAGTCTAACAGCCAGCCGTTCATTTTCTTCCTAGTTGACCTGGCAACTGTTCTGACTCCCGAGATAATGGCTCCCATTCTGGCCAACGCTGAAGTTCAGGAGCGGCTGATGCCTTACCTTCCCTCCGGGGAATCCCTGCCGCAGACTGCAGAGGAGATCCAGAACACGCTGACATCTCCGCAGTTCCAGCAGGTAGCGGTCAGGGCACAGTTCTCCTTCCCTCCTCCCTTGGGTGTCCCTTGGGATTCATCTTGCCTGGCTTTTTTAGGTCCCTGCCACTGCTCAGAGCAGGAATTTGATCTGTAGAAGTGGGAGGGAGGAGGGACACGATGTAGTGGAGCACTGGTTCATCCTGCCTGTGGCCACCCAAGGGCAGATCACAAAGGGTTTTTTTTTTTTGTTTGTTTTTTACTTTCTTTTGGAATGGGGCTTTACCTTTGCCATTGTTACAAATGCTCTCTGGCAAGTGACAGCTGAGTAGCAGCAAATTCACTATTGCCTGTCAGAGTGGGCTGTAAGCAGTCCCTTTAAAGTTCAATCATTAGAACAAATACATAGAAGGGAAGAGATGCTGATGTTTATAGCACTACTTCCCTTTTCCCTCCTGAAACACTAGTATGTAATTCCAGGAGTGTCCATCTGGATGTACTGCTCAGATTAAATGTGTATTTTAGGCCAGCCTGAACTTACAGTGACTGAAATTTGTCAGTATACAAAATTTTATTGGCTAAAGAATGTTTTTAGCTTAAACCGTGGCAAGTCCTTACGCAGACAGGGCTTCAGAAATGAGGGCTGTTGTTGAGCAGTGACCTGATGACTGCGCATCCTGTGCCTAAGCTGGCATCCCTGTGCTGGGGTGCCAGGAGGTTCCGTCACTGTGATTGTTTCCTGCTCGGTCCAGTACAGCTTGTTCACTTGGGCTTACTGGCATGTAGTTGTTCAGGAACAACCACTGCTCCTCCTTTCAGAACACTCACAGGGCCTGTGGTGTAGAGGCATTTCCAAGCCTGGCCCCAGTGCAGTAGGTTGTTGGGTTGTTTTTTTTGTGTTTATTTGTTCTAAAAAGGGTAGAGCCTGCTCCCAGGTGGGCCACGTGGTCAACGTGCCAAAACAGGGAGTGGAAACAGCCAGGGACTGCTGTCCTCACGGTTATTGCACAGTAGCCACAGACACCTGGTGATGGAGAAGCATGATGCAAGCTTGGTTTTGATGCTCCTGACTCCTGTTCACAGGCATTGAGCATGTTCAGCGCTGCCTTAGCTTCAGGACAGCTCGGCCCACTAATGAGCCAGTTCGGCTTACCCGCAGAGGCAGTAGATGCAGCAAATAAAGGCGGTACGTACCAGTGCTGTGGGGAATGTGATGAAGTGATTGGGTTTGGTTCTTTCTTGTGTGTGTGTGTGTTTTGTGTTGTGTGTTGTTTTTTTGCACTGCACATACATAGCCCTTGACTGCAGAAGGTAACGATTCTGAGCAGCTGTCAGAAGCTGACTCTTACACTGCTGGTTTTAAAATCAAAGGGCGAGTGTGGCTCAGGTGTCATGCAGAAGCCATGGTGCTGATGTCAGGCTTGGGGTTAGAGAATTCAGGGCTCTGCAGAGGGAGGTGCTGAGCTGAGCAGCCTTCTGGGTGTTTTCTTGAAAGGGCTCCAACTGGCTGGAGATGTCAGGCCGCTCATTAAGCAATACTTTATTTTTGTGAGAGTCATCAATGAGTCAGCTAAAATAAGTTCAGAGCTAGGGCCTTTAGTACTGGGAAAGGGGGAAAGCACCGCTTTTTCTTGAGGAACGTTTAGAATCTTTTCCATGATGGAAGTAATTCAGTGCTTAGGACTGCCTGTGTAGAAGCTTAAATTGCATAAATCCCAAAGTGCATGGGATGGCCAATGAGTGTTGATGTTTTCTTCTCTGCTACTAGGCTCTCACTGTTGAGCAATGGTTTGTTTTCCAACTAATGACACTTAACCTCATGCAGACAATGAATTCTGTTCCAGAAAATGCCAAATAAAGTAACTAATGTATTTAACTTCTAGATGTAGAAGCGTTTGCCAAAGCAATGCAGAACAGTGTGAAGTCAGACCAAAAGGAAGGAGACTCTAAGGACAAGAAAGATGAAGAGGAAGATATGAGTTTAGATTAAGTTATTTGCTCTTCCTTACAGATATCCTAGATACTAACTTAAGCAACTGCAGTAGGATTACTAACTTCATATTATGCTTATATAAATCTACAAATAAAGGAATTTTCTTTATCTGCCATGCTGGTTTTGTTTTCTCACTCTGTTTGATGTGCACTTAAGCAGTACGTGCTGAAGTACTGCTTGTGGTAAATACAAAGAGGGCATCCTTGTGCTGCTCCCTGAGGTGGGGATTAGTCCTCTTCTATTACATTAGTCTCATTCTTTCTCTTCACCAGGAAAATGAAAGAGAATAACATAAAACTTTATTTGACTCCAAAGTATGTACCAGTGATTTACAAAGACCATCTTTAATACTACAACTTAAAAACAGGTCATAATTACATTGAAGATGGACATGTTAAAAACCCATTTTACAATATTTACCCCTCATAAAAAACAATATGATATAAGTTATAAGTCCGTTTCAGAAGCAAGATTTTGTCCCCAGGTGGCTAGATATATATACACACACAAATATATAAATGATGTGTAAGTGCACAAGTGAACTAGGTGTCTTGGGAGAAAAGGTGTGGTGTTCAAGTGAAGCCTGCACTGTAACAGGAGTGAGTTAGGCTGAATGGGAGAAGGCAGCTGGTGGCAGGGGAGGTGATGGCAAAGTGACATCGCAGCTCCGGACAGAGGTAACCTTTCTTCAGTACTTCCCTTTCAAACAACAGGTTCTTGCTTCATACAACAGGACTTTGTCAGTAGTAGCAAAGAGCTGAATGTAACTGCAGAGAGCTCCGTGGTGGCTGTGACGGCCTGCTTTCGCTCAGCAGTTCTTCCAGCCTATTTTGTTCCTCTTTTTTTAAAATCTTATAAATTAATCTGATAGGCAGATGCTAATTCTGAGAGCAGAATTTTGTCCAAGGCCCCCCCTCGCAGAGCTCTTTATTTGTGTAACGGCAGCAGGTGAACCGAGCCTGACCTTGGGGGCAGGGTTCAATGCAGCCTTGCTTATAAAAACACAAAAGTGACGGAATTAATCCAGTTTGTCCTAATTGCATTATACAACAGAAACTGCCTCCAGCCTTTAGCAGAAGACAGCCTGTGACTGTTACTAACTGCCTCAAGTGTTCTGTGACCTAAACCTACGTGCAGTGTGAGGGGAACAGGGTTTGGGACACGATGCACAGCTGCTGTGTGCTTCAGCCCACGTTTGGCAGGGACAGCTGCTCCTAACACGAGCTGCGTGTCAGCACGAGTCCTGTTGCAGATGCTGGACCACTGGGGAAGGAGTCGGAGCTGTCTCCGCATCCTGCTCCAACTTTTTGGTTATATTTGTGAAAAATGCCTCTAAAGTGCCCCCTTCTCTCCACCTTCCTCCCCTGCCCTCCTTCCCCATGGATTCGTGGCCCCTCCGTGGTTTTGGCCCCAGCCTGGTGCCTGGAGGCTCGCGCTGCATTTGCTGCAGGTCTGGTACGTTTGGCCACAGCTAATGGCAACGAGGAGGTGATGGTGGGGGCCCAGGGAGCGGGGCGGTGTCTGTCGGCCAGGCCGTACGCTGAGGTGCACTTACTTACAGCACGGGGCAGCCCCTAAGGCCCACGGAGCCCCTGATGGTCCCGGTTTGCTGCAGGTTCATGTGGCTCCGGTTGATCAGCAGATTCCTCATACAGCCCACATAGTGAGGGAGGGGAGGTAACGATGGCGCTGTGCTGGCCTGCTCTGTTGCTGCTGGAGGAACAAATAAAACCAAGCATTAGTGGGGCTAGTAGCAGGGCAGGGGGTTAAGGACATTTTATTTGCAATAGCAGGAGTATCACTTCGGGGAATTTTGTTCTGGAGTGCATCTTTCCCCCCCTCACCTGGCTGCCCTCCCAGGTAGAAGGTCGCCTTTGTGCTGGGTGCAGGAGGCTGGCTGGGCCCCATTGTGTAGTTTCGTTCCGTGTCCACGTTGAGCTGGAGGACGTTTTTCCATTTGGTAACTTAAAAAGAAATCAAAGTCAGTCAGTGCTGCTTCCTCACCTGGAGAACGAGTCCACCACCACCGGCCAGTGCTGGAGCACAGCAAAACTGGGCTGGTCAGAGGCCCTGGTGTGGTGCTTGAGAACTGCCTGGGGTCAGGAGAGCCTCCCCCCAAACTTGCCTCGTGGCACTGCAGCTGCCCATAAAGCAGGGCGTTTTCCTGCACAGCAGAGCTACCCTCCCCCAGCAGGGGCTGTGATCCCCACCCCAGAAAGGCCCCAATGCAAAAATCTCAGCACTCACCCGATGGCAAATGCATTAAAGGCTGAGCCCAGGCAGGTGGGGCTCCTGCTCAGTCACCTGGCCCCACTGCAGGCTTTGAACACACTGCACCAACCTGCACCCAACTGAGCCTTTTAGCCCCAAGCCTTTCACCCCCAGTGGGATGGAGCTGAGCCCAGGGCTGGCCTGGCAGTGTCCTGGGGTGGCCCTGGCCTTGCTGGTGACTCTGTGACCTGGTAAACGCCCCGTACCTTGGGCTCACCAGGTCTGACAGCACTAACGAGACTGGGCAAGGGCTCTAATTAGGAAATCACTTAATTGCAGCTACAATCTCCCTGATTAACTGCATGCAGGTGGGAGCTGGGGTTTAAATACCCAAGGAAGTGCCCCGGGCTCCACCTAGGAGGTATGAGCAGAGCAGCAGGATGGGAGCAGCACCCCGGAGCTGTCACCTCACCTGTGATGGTGTGCCACTGCCCGTCGCAGAGAGATGGGCACGGCAGCAATGTCTGGAACTCATCAGACCCAGTGTTCGCTCTCACGGTGACCTAGCACAGGAGACAAAACCATCAGAGCTCACTGAACTGAGCGTGGTAGGCAGGAGATGCCTCTGAAAACCCAGGGGAAGCCGCCCTTCCCGTTACCTTCATCTCCTCCATGTACAGCAGGAGGTGGTGACTCCTTCTTGTGCCAATGTGGAAGATGAGCCCAGAGGCGCTGCGGGGACGGACCTCCAGGGACACCTCCAGGTCCTGCCCAGTTGCCACTGCATCAGCTAAAAATGAAATGCTGCTGGTGAGAAGGGGACAAGGGACCTCCTGGAGGCACATCCCTCCCAGGGCCATGGGAACCAGCCCGGGCTGCTGTGGGGTACCTAAGCTGATGGAGCCACCCTCTGCAGCAAAGAAGACCCCGCTCTCCAGAGCACCCTCGTAGCATGGCGTCACCCCAAAGGAGTAGGAGGGGGCACCCAGGGGCTTTCCATCCAGCTGCGGGTTCCTCAGGCAGCCATCAAAGCTGGAGGCTGATGTGTCCTGCAGAGAGAGGCCGTGAGAGTGAGTGCAGCGGGGCCAAATACAGCAGGCACGGGGCCATACTATGGGACCAAGAACTGCCAGAGATGGCACGATGCCATGGGACCGCTGAGCCCTTACCGGCACATGAACCTTGGCTTTTCCAGCTGGGACCCCCCCCACGTAGAAGGGGCTCTGGGCCATGAAGAGCCCTGTGGTGGCCACTGCAGCATCCTGGGCTCGCAGCCCATCGATGACCAGCTGGGCTCGGTGCTGGTCTCTGCCGAAGAAGACCTGCAAGGACCAAAGGTCAGTGCTGGGGCTGGGGGCTTCCTGGGGTGGGAGGAACCCCAAAACCGTGCCTGGGGAAGGGGGAGGCTGGCTCAGGACGTTCAGGCAGCCCTGGCCACAGCTGTTAGAGTCCCATGTGCAATTGAGAAGGGATGCTCAGAGCAGGGTTGTGGCAGCAGGGGGGGGAAAGTGACACATTTCAGCGAGGCCTTGCCAAAACCCAGCCCTCTGCTCACCGTGTGCCACCGCCGGTCCCGGTACTTGTCTTTGCTGCGGATGCGCAGGCGCTGCCTGCCCACAGCCACCACAAAGACGAAGCGGCCGTTGGAGACAAAGAGAGCCATGAAGGTGCCCCGCTTGCCCGCCACGTAGAAGAGCAGCCCATTGGAGGAGTTCAGCTTCACCTCCAGGGAGAAGTGGGACCTGCAGGGACAGGGGGGTGATGGGGGCACCCTGCCACCCACAGCTGCAAGGAGCCACCGCTCCCCGGGCAGTGTTTTTTGGGGCTGTGTGGGTGTGGGGTGAGCACGGAACGAGCCTCACCTCTGGCTGAAGGAGGCTGGGATCTCCTCAAACTCCCAGCGGCTGCTTGGGGTGCCCCCAAAGCGGAAGGTGCCCTCATCTGCGTGGGGCAGCTGGCAGAGCCCCTCCCGGTTATGGCGGCGGTCCTTTGAGAGGGGCTTGCCCGATACCTACAGGAGTTGCACCAAGGAATGGAGTGAGGGGAGCATCCCTGCGAGTGCTGCAGGGCAGAGGTGCCCAGGAAGGGGGTGAAGGTGGTGCTTGGAGAGGATGGGGGAAGGATGTGGAGAGGTCTGACAGCAGCTGGTACCTTGGGTTTCCTTCTGTCCTTCTTCAGGGCAGCTCGAAGCTGCTGTGGCTGCTCTCCCCAGGGACAGCTCATGGTGACATTGATGCTCTCCACGTTCTGTTGCAGGTCCACCACCATCTGTGGCTCTGACCTCCTACGTGCAGGGAGAAAGAAGTTTTGTTACTGGACCAGCCAGGCAGGCAGATAGGGCTGAATCTGTGCAGAGATGCTTTTACCTCTTGACAAAGACGTTGGCGATGCAGCCGGTGAGGTTGCTGAGGGCACCTGGCTCTGGCGAGCCCCCGAGCTGGAATAACATCTGTGCATCCTGCCGTCGCTGCCGCCGGCTGGGCCTGGCCCCTGCCGTGGTGTCCTGCAGCTCAGTCGTCCACGTACAGCCGCACCCTGGCAGGGAGGAGTGGTGAGGGCTGAGCAGGTCCCCGTGGCGGCTGGCCCCTTGGGCCCCACGCACCGCCGGGACACGTACCCACGGCTGTCACTGTAGAAGGCCACGTAGTGGGCCCGGCCATCTGCGTAGGCGTTTTCAGTGGTGATTTTGGTATCCAGCAGGTTCAAGGCCAGCTGTCCCCTCTGGAGGGACACCTGGCACATCCCCTCCTGCAGAAAGCACAAGGGTCCATGGCACCACCACCCTCCAGGAGCTCAGGGTGGAGATTTCACTGTGGATTCCCTCCCTGACTCCACCAAAATCCCTCCCTTTCCCAAGGAGGAGCACTGCCACCCCCAGAGAGCAGGAGTTAATGTTTCTGCCCCCTCGCCCAGGATAACTGGGGGGCCAGCAGGTGCCCACCTGGGTAGCGTGGTGGTACAGCAGCCCCTCGTGCTGGCTCGTCTGGAAGCTGAAGCCACTGTAGAAGTCCCGCAGCCCTGGCACGTCCTTCAGGGCCAGGGTCAGGTAGCCGTGGCCGTGGACACTGACTGAGCGAGCCACCTGCAAGGGACGCCAAGGAAGAGAGGTGAGAGGCAGGCCCAGCATTTGCAGGCTGCTGGGAAGAGGAGCAAGGCAGCCAGGCTCTCGCTCGGTCTGCCTGGTGCTATGGCTATCACGTGGGGCACCTTGCCCTGCCCCCCTGCACAGAGAGGCCATGGGTTTTATGCACTTTTCTGCATGGACAGGAGATGGGGCCTGCCCCAGGGGTTCTCTGATCCTTTCCCCAGCTGCCAGAACATCGTGCTTACCAAAAGGTCTGAGGTGCACCCGTAGCTCACGCCAACGGTGTTCATGCGCTTCAGGTCAACGTATTTGCCAAGGGCCTTCAAGCCCTTCATGCAGCCCCGGATGGGCCCACCCGTGGGGAAGAGTGCTTTCAAGCTGCAGGAGGAGCAGACAGCGTTATCAGACAGCGTTATCAGACAGCCCTGGGGTGGTTCTGGGCCTGCAACCCCTCAAACAGAGCATTTGGGACCATGAAGGCCACGCATGGCTCCAGTGCCTTATGCACAAGGCTGTTTCATAGCACCCAGCTTGGCTGAGGAGGCTCAGTGACGCTCATCAGCACCTCATCCCTCACTAGAGATGTCCCATCCTCAAGCCCATGGTGATGGGGGGGATGAGGAACCTTCCCTGCAGAGTTCCAGCAGCCCTGGCTGTGGCTGGGGAAGAGCCAGGGCCACCCCCAAGGACTACAGAGATGAGTATCTGGGCTGGACCCACCTGGGGGGTAGCAAAGCTGGGGGCACGCCGCCCAGGTAGTAGGAGACAGCATTCTCTAGGGAGTTCTCCTGCTCCACCATGAAGATGGTGAGGCGCTCCAGCCGCACCAGGATGCGCTTCTTGTTGTTCATCTTCAGCAGGAAGATCTGGATCTGCAGACAGAGGAGAGAAATGACCTGCCAGCCTGGGGCAACTGGATCCAGTCACAGAGGATGGCACAAGGTGTCCGGTTCACATCTCAAAGCAAAGAACACCCCAAAGGGAGGCCCAGAGCCAGCAGGCTTCAAACCTTCTCCCAAAACCAGGGGTCAGGTGTCCTCACTTGCCCTCCTGAATGAAGAAGCCAGCCCCCCACGTGAGCCATGCACCCAGCGCCCTCCCTTACCGCTTTGTTCGTGGTGCTGCTGACGGTGAGGGAGGACGAGTTGCTGCTGGGTTTTGCCACCTCCAGGCCTGTGCTGAAGTCGTAGTAAAGCACCAGCTTCCCGTCCCGGATGGCCAGACACAGGAACTGACCCTAGGGGAGGCAGGTTGGGTGCTCAGCACCATCCACTGGTGCCTGGCACACAGCCTGACCTGCCTTGTGGCACCAGCAGCAGGTCCTGGTGCCTCAACCAATCACTGTGGCATTGAGGAGGGATTCATGGGGAAGGAGCAGCCCTGTGTGGGGGGCACAGGGATGGCACTGCGAGGTGGAAATGCTCCTCGCAGCACTGACTGTGCCAGTGAACCCTGGCCTAGCTGAAAAGCTCTTGGAGCTCAGGGGAGGCCCTCAGGCACCAGACAAGTGACTGCCTTGGCTGTGAGGTCTGCGCCCAGCCCTCTTGTGGCTTTTAACAAAAGTGCAGAAATACTGCTCCAAGCAGCACTCTGCCACCTCCGAAGCCCTCTCCTCCCCACTGCCCCAGCCCACTGGCAGAGGGGTGGAGGCTCCCTAGAGGAGCGGGCACCTGCCTGATTCTCCAGGAAGAAGAGGATGCCGTTATAGGAGACAAGCCGGATCTCCTGCTCGAAGCGCTTGGTTGTACCAAACTGGCTCTCAAACTTGATCTCTGCATACCCGGTACCATCAAAGTAGGAGCCGTCAGTCAGCCAGGGATCTCCTGTGGACTTGGACCTGGAACACGCAAGAAGAGGCACTAGGCATCACTCCAAAGCCGACTGCCACGCTCTGGGGCAGCCAAGGGTCAGGGTAAGCCCCCGGGACAGGAGCTGCCCTGGCCTGGCTGCGGTGCCTTACCTCGCGCAGGGCTTCTCAGAGGTGGTGTCCAGCTGGAAGGTGTGCTGGAAGTTGTACAGACTCACCACCTCCTCGTTCAGTGTGTCCAGCTCCAGGCACCCACGGTAGTTGGGATAACGCAGAGTGGGAGGGGGCTGGGAACAAAACCAGATAAGGCAAGTTTGGTCCTGGTTTCCCCACCATATCGAGGGCTCTCCCCCCAAGAAGCTCCAAAGATAATGCTGATACCTCCCAGGAAACCGTGCCTCCCGCCCTGCTGCCTGTCTCACCGTGAAGCTGGCGGGGTAGCCGCCCACATAGAAGACCACGTTGTGTGGGTCGAGGTTGAGCAGCCCCTGTTCCCCCTTGGCCACGCTGTCTCCCTTGGTCTCGTGCACCGTCTGCCTTTCCACAATCACCGACATTTGCCCGTACTGCAGTATCCTGCGGCAGGGAGGGATGCTCAAGGTAAGTGGAGATTCCTAAAGACAAGCCAACCTTGCCCTCCCTGAGCAAAGGGCCTGCCCATGCAGCTCAGCTAAAAAAGGGTGCAACCCCCACCAGGGAACCCCACAGCAGCAATGCATCGAAAGGAGTCAGCACTCCTGTTATCCGTGCTGCCACCAGGCTGAAGGACCTCACCATGGACAGCATCATCTTTCCTTTCATGAAGGCACCCCCCAAGACCTTCCATGACGCGGTAAGATAATTTCCCTGCCATTTTTTGAAGCTGATCATTTAGAAATGAACAGATGCTGGAATCCACAGCACCTCTGCAAGCCCGAGGCCTGCCTGGGTTTGGGCACAGCACCACCACGCACATGCACTGCGGGGACAGGCTCCCAGTGAGGTCCCTCAGGCTGTGTCCCATCAGTCTCCTACCGGTTAATGCTGATGGTGGCGAACTGCTCTCCGATCTCCTCATCGACCGTCAGGGAAGCTGGCTCCTCGTTACCCAGTTTGTAGACCCACTGCACTTTGTGGTCCTTGAGCACGATACCCAGGTAGTCTCCAGTGGCCTGAATGCGGGGAGAGACAGGGCCACGTGTTGGCAATCAGGATGCACAGGGGTGCACCAAGCGGTGCTCCCCCTGATGCACCAGAGCTGGGGGAACAGCAGGGCATGGGGAGAAAAGCTCCTGGTTCCCCAGGTGCTGAGGGCTGCACCGAGGGCATGATGCCTAGGCAGAATTCCCCGCTGACACTGTTCCCTGTCTGGGCTCCCGCTGCCCCCCTCCTGCCCGTGCAGTCCCATCTCACCTCTCGGCTGCCCAGGTACAACACGAACCGCCCCTCTTCTGCCCCATCCTGCCGTTGCTGCCGGCTCCTGGGCTCAGGATTTTGGATGTAAAATTTGAGGGATGTGTAGGCTGCCAAATCCTGCAGGTTGCTGGGCATCCGGACCTGCACACCTGAGCTGCCGTTGAACTTCATGGGTACCTTCACCTGGAGGGAAAGAAATCCAAGCCCAAAGGGCTGAAACCACTGCTGCCACCTCTTGTCCATGACCGCTCTGCCAAGTCCACTTTCTGGAGTCTTCCCTTCAAAAAGCAGCTGTGCCTGGTAGCCCCAGAGCTCTTCTAGCTCCCTCTCCCACTTACACACCACCCTCAGGTAAGCCCTCGCTCACCCCAAGCCCCTCGCCCCCTGTGCACAGCCCTCTCCCTCCCACAAGCCCACCTTGCTGGCGGCGTTCCTCGCCTGCGTGATGAGCTGCCGGATCCGCACGATGTTCTCTGACACGGTGGCATTCTTGTTCCTCCTGTTCTCCAGGCTGCTCAGCGTCCCCAGCAGGAGCGGGATGGTGCTTTCCAGGCTGGACACTGGAATTAGAGGAGCCAGTGCTTTTGTGTTAGTGAGGAAGGGAGATGTGAAGATCTGGCAATTTTGAGTCGTGCAAGTCCAAGCAGAGTCATGCTATCACCCCTCAAGCACAGCAGCCTCGACGAGGGGTTTAGAGATGCTCCAGTGCATGCAATCTCTTGCAGTGAAGGCCCAGGTGATGCACACACTGCAGACTGAGAGTAAAACAAAGGAGACACTCACCAGATTTCTTGGCGTCTTGGACTGCTCGGTTCAGGTCTTCGTTTCGAAGGCCTCCATACTTGTCCTTCCACTCATCCAGGTTCCTCCTCATGGTGCTCAGGGTATCTTCCACTCTTGAAGCTGTTTCGTTGGCCTCTGTTGCTGCTGCTTTGGCTTTCTGGATCTCTTCCTTTGTGTCCTCTGGAAAGACAGGAGGAAAATCTCTGAGGTGGCCAGAAGAGAAAAAGAAGCAGTCTTGGCTCACAGCCTGGACTTGAGAAAGGAGGCAGAGAGCACCAGTGCCCACCCAGGACAAACCTTGGTCCCGTCCCAGCATGTCTTGCACAGACTGCAGCTGGTTCAGAAGCTGCTCCTTTTTCGTGCGGAGGTCGGCCAGCTTGTCCTTCGCTGTCTGCAGAGTGCCTTTAATAGCTGCAATTAATGAAACGTATAAGCACATACTCTGCGTATTGGGTCTTGGTCCAGCCCAAAGGACATTGCGATCTGCTACTTCTGCCCAAAGCCTCCATCCTGCAAGGAGTTTCTCTCACCTCCATTGAGTTTTCTCTGCTCTCTCATCACAGACTCCTCAAGATTGCTGCTGTTCCTCTTCAGCTCTTTAGAGATGGCCCCGAGATTTTCTGATATGACATTCTGTAAAAAAAACAAAAACAGGTGCTGCCTGGGAGTCTCGAAGAAGAATTCAAGTCTGCACCTGACCACCCTCAAAAAATGCTCATTTGGACAACTGCAGTGGGGTGCGATGGTGAGACCCCAAACCCCAGAGACCAGCCCTAGCCTTGGCAGATCTCGTGTTCTCTGATAAAGAACAAAGTGCTGAAGTCTCAGAGGGAGGGGGCAACAGACCACTATGTGTGGGTGTGAAAAGCTGCAGGACCGTTGAGGGAATTTGTCTTTTGCTCATCTGCACAGCACGTACCATCAAAGCCTCGCCAGCTGCCTCATCGGCATCATGGGCTGCTCGCTCAGCTTTTCTCACAGCTTCAATGATGCTGGCATAGGCGTTGGAGGCATCAATCGCCCTCTGGATAAAGCCATCTTGGTTTGTGCCCTGGATAATGCTGTGTTGGAAGACAAAGCTGTCAAGCCTGCGGAGCTAAAGCCTTGGAGACAACACGCCACTGCTCCCCTGCTGCAATGTAGGGGCTGTGGTTTCTCATCCCCAACCCTCAGAAGTGAAGGTTGGGTGGTGACAGACTGAGAGGCAGGACCAGGGAGCTGGGGGGATGTCTCACCTGGACAGGTTCTTGGCGAGCTCGCTCAGGAGCCGGGCGTGCTCCTCCGCCTGCTCCACAATGGGGATCTTGCTGCTGGCTGGGGAGAATTTCTTGACCCGCTCTGTCAGGGGCAGCTTCGCTCCATCCAGCAGTGCTGCCAGCTTCTCGTACTCCTGCAAGGACATGTGTCACTCCCCAGGGCTGCCCCACTGTGCTCTGCCCATACCAAAGCAACTCCGTCACTCACCTCCTTTGCGCTCTCCATCTTCTGTAGGAAGTTGGAGACCTGGGCCAGGGAGTCCTCAGCCATCCTCAGGGTCTCCTGCACCAGCCCGTACTGCTTCTGGAGCTCACGGCTCTTTTGCTGGACACAGAGACATGGAGTTAGGAGCGAGTGGGGCCAGGGCAGGAACCCCTCACTGCTGGGCAGAACATCTGGTGAAGGTCTACCTGACTCTCCTCCAGGTTGTTGCGGTTCAGACTGTTCAAGTCCTCTGTCTGCCTGGTCTTGTTCACGGCCTCGTTGAGGGCATCGCGGAGATCCATCAGCTGGGAGCTGTGCTGGGCCAGACGGTCCTGGATGCTGCTCACCAGGTCCCGGTTGGACTCCCAGTGGGAATGAAACTCGTGCTTCACCCGATGTAACACTGAGAATAGAGGAGGTGAGAACTGTCACTAAGTCATCCTCCTGTGTTAAAGGGCTCTTTCTGTGCTTGGTTGTAGAAAAGCCTGATGCTGGTCTCACTTTGTTGCTATCAAGACCCGAAGTGACTATCCTCCCTCCCCTCCTCTTTCAGCATAAGATCTCATCTAATATTGTCTAAAAATTCTCAATGCTGGTGAGAGAGAGAGCATCTCTTTCAGAAAGATGCTCAGCCATGCCTCTAATACTCCATATGATGGAGAACCTCTACCTGAGTCCCATTCCACTGCTTGATTACTCCCATTGCACTTCCTTATTTCTAGTGAGAGACGTTTTATAATTCCAGTTGATAACTGCTGAATTATGTTTTGCCACTGTCTGCTAATCAGAAACACTCAACTCCCTGCAATAGCTGGTCTGCCTGGTTATGCAGCAGAGCTTTGCATGGGAGCAGAATGTGACCCCTTGGTCCTGCAAGGGAAGCCCTCGGGATGGCAGGGCTGCTGAGGATGGGGGGCTGCCAGGTATTATTCTGAACCACTCTCTTGGGACAGTGAAGAAACATAAGGTGAGTCAATCACATCCACACACGATGCTTACATGATAAATGCTAACTCCTGGTTCTAACTTTTGTCATTTTTGGTCATCAAACCAAACCACTCAGTACAATTTGCTGTGAAATTCATTTTGAGGGGAATAAAAAAAAAGTGATCCCCTTGGAGTGTCACAGAAGACACAGAAATTACTGTGATACTTGTTAGGGGTGTCTGTTTGAATAACCACAGCCTCCAAACATGACCATGATGTGTAGTGTCTGCAAGGGCTCCGAACCAGGCTGTCAGGAACAACCAAACCAAGCAGGGTCTGCACAGCTCTGTCCCGTGCCTCTGAGCTGGACTCACGCTTCTGAGCTTCCTCATGCTCGCGCCTCGCCAGCTCTTCTTGGCTGCCCAGATTCCGCTCCTTCATCTCCCTCAGCATCCTCTCCACCTCAGCCATCTTCTGCCGAAACTCCTCCGTGGAGGTGGTACTGGCGTTTGCCGCCCCGAACTGGGCCATCTGCCGCACCAAGTCTGCAGAGAAATCCAGTCCTGTTAGCACCAACAGACCTCAGTCCCTTCACAACCCTCTGAGACCTCCCATCTCTCACATCACCCTCACCAAAATGCAGCCAGCCTTTGTTCAGTACTCAGGCACACAAATTTCAAGATTACACAGGTGTATTGCCACGTTTCTGTCTTGTTGACCACTACCACTAATACACACTACATCCCGAACACCTTCTTGTGATTTTGCTGCCTCTCTGCAATCCAGTCACTCCTTGTTTTGCTAAATCTCTCCTGAAGCAACAGTTTTATGCATTTTAATAACATTTGTGCTGAAGTTTCACGTATTTTTTCCAAAGATGGCATTCAGTCAGACAGCTGGGACTCACAATAACCTCTGGTTTACCTAAACAGCCATCAGTCTGCGAGGATCTCCACTACATTTGCATTTCCCTTTCTTTTTTTTCCATGGCCCTTTCTAAGTGATGCAGCACTCTGCTGTTTGCAAAGCAAAATTCCCAGCAGGAAAAACCCACAAAGCAGGGATGCTTCTTTACCTACCTCCAATGCTTTTCTGAATACTCCGGATATCCAGCAGGAGTTGCTCCCCTCTCTGATAAGTCTCTCTTGTATTCTCATCTAAATGGTTTGCTTTTCTGTGAGTCATTGTCATCTAAAACACAAAACACTGGCTTAGCTCAAGTGTAAGTTATGTTTAACGTGACCCATCAGAGGGTATGACGTTCCCAAAAAATACAGGAGGCTGGGAATACACAGCTTTTGAGCTCCTTGAAATCACACCTCCTGCAACAGCTACCCAGTGCTGCACTCCTGTGATGTGTTGATGGTCTTATTTACTACCTTACAGGAGCACAAGTGAAGCTCCTGGTGCACTAGGTTCTGGATCCTGAAATGGTTCTAAGACCACAGAGGACATCTCTGTCCTGTGCTCTTGCTTGTGACACAGGAAAAGGTTTAGAAATGAGGGAGATTATAAATGAAATCAAATTCTGCTCAGTTTACAAATTCTCTGAAGACACAGGTAGATTTTCTACACTGTACTGATTGTACCTTGCAAAATGTGTGCAGTACTGAGGCCTCTAAGGATAACTAGGATTATATATAAATATATATTTGTATAACATTATATACAAATATAATATTTGTATAAAACAAAAGGATTTATTTGTTTGATGATGGGGCATGGCTTCTCCCTGCCACAGGGATACAACCAAGACAGAATTGAGTATTTATGTTCCCTCCCATATGCTACTTCTGTAAATTACATTTTATTGTATTTATTTTTACTGGTTAAATACGGAACCTCTTCAAAAGCAAGTGTTAAACCAAGAAACAGCCATCGATGTCACAAGAAGTTTAACAGCCCTGCAGTGGAGCAATGCAGGTAATGTAACTCGGGCACCTGAGTAACACACCCCAACACCTACAGCTGGGCTGAGCAGCAGCTCCATCCTGCCAGAACTAGGTTCCTCACAGCCTTCAAAGCCCTCATTTTAGATAAAATGGGGGGACTCTTGCTCTGGCAAGGGGAGGGAGATGGAGAAGTGTCCTACTTTGTGCTGCAGTGCATTCAAGTCCTGCGTGAGGTCCGTGTTCTCATCCTCCAGCTCATCAGCCCTTTGCCTGACCTTGCTCACAGCTCTCTGGTACTCACGCATCTGGTTCTGGAAAAAAAAAAAAGCTGAAATTAGGCCAACGGGCCAGCAAGCACAGGCAAAAACCAGCATTCTACCTTGCACGTACAGCGATAGCTGCCAGGGTACTGTTGAGGCCGTGGAGGCGAGCCCAGGCGATGGAGCTGGCGTTGAGGTTGACCAGCTGGTTGCGGATGGAGGGCAAGGACATCTCGATGCTCTGCAGATCCTCCAGCAGAAGCAGGACACAGCTATCACACACTGCCAGGGGAACGCAGCGCTCAGCACGGGGCCCTCTCCCGGGGCTTCCCACACCTCGTTCCCCAGCACTGCAGGACACATGACCTTCACACCTCATGCTGTCCGGGCCGTTGGCCACCGGGATCTCGTAGTCGTGCATGCAGACGTCGCACTGCTTCCCCGTCAGCCCGTTGGAGCAGGTGCACTCCCCGGTGCGCGGGTCACAGGAGCCCCCTCTGCACTCGCACTCTGCCAAGTGTAACAACAGGGAAAGGCCCGTGTCATCACTCTGTGCTGCTGCCACGTCGGAGGGAGGGGAAGAGGTGGTTTTATTCCAGCTGTGCGATTGCATCTCTGGATATCTACGTGCATGGCACTACAGGGGGCTTCCCTGTGTGTTCTGACAACACGCACAGGACCCCAAATAGCAGTTAGTTGTTTTCCTCCCCTAACAATCTGACAAGCACACATGCCACCAAAAACCTTGTCCCACTCCTCCCCATGAGGAACCCAGCAGCAGGACTCACTTCTGCAGCCCCTCTCGCTGAAGCCCCAGTAGCCAGGGGCACACTGCTGGCAGCGCAGGCCGCTGACTGCCGGGCAGGCAGCTGCACTGTCCCGTCTGCACGTGGCAGCTGCTCCCCACAGCACCGACGTCGCAGTCGCACCTCTGGCAGCCGGAGCATCCCTCGAAGCCGTAGTACCCCTCCTAGGGAAAAGCAGGTCAGCGGGTACCCCGTTGACAGAGGGCAGGCGTGTGCCTGCACAGGCACCGTCACGGCACTGCAGGGTGGACCTCACCTGGCAGCGGTCGCAGTGCTGGCCTGTCACCCCGGCCTTGCAGAAGCACTGGCCAGTCTGTGGGTGGACATGAGTCGGTCCCGCAAGGTGAACAGTTGCACTCTGCCAGGGAAAAGATACACCCAATTATGTGCTGAACCAAAGAGACCGGTCAGCTACTCCTCAACCCCCTTATTCCTGACAGGGAACCCCCAGGGAACGTTTCTGACTACCACAGACCCTCTCCTCTTGGACCTGCTCCAACTGACTATTTATTCCCATTGCCCTCGCCCAGGACAGCCCTTTTTTTTTTTCAAGCTGCTGTTCCTGAGCAGTGCTGGGAGTGGGCTGTGCACACCCACACTCCCGGGGAAGCACCAGCACCGCTGCTGCAGTAGCTGCTTGGAGCAAGACTGTTCCAGCCTGGGCGCGGCTTGGCAGCCTACAGACGGGTGGATTGGAGGTTTTGGAGTTGTGATGCTGGAGGGCACGTTTTTAGAGCTGTTTGTTTTTCTTTCTTTTTTTTTATCATCATCTTTAGAGGCTGCCTGTCCTGGCACGTGTGTAACTGAGCGCATGACTCATCCAGGCAATGCGCAGCTCATCCAAGGCTCTTGACATATCAAAGGTCTGCCTGTCCACCTTCTCCCCACAGCCCTTGCTGCCTGCCCCACTCACGCGTGCAGTTCTTGGCTGTCACTGCATCCCCATAGAAGCCAGGGGCGCAGACCTCGCACCGTGCACCGGCTGTGTGGTGCATGCACCCCGTGCAGGCACCCGTCAGGGAGTCGCAGCTGCTGAAGAGCATGTTGGGATCCGTGTTCCTGCTGCAGTCGCAGGGCTGGCATGAACTGCCAATCACCAAGGGATTGCCGTAGTATCCTGGGGCACACCTGGAGAAACACAGCAAGTTAAAACACAGCCAGGGCACTGCGGGGATCCTCAGAGGTCTTGCTGGCACCACACTTCAGTCTTGAGCAATTATAACAGTGAGGGCATCCAACACTTGCAAGTGATGCAGCCCTCTGGGATCTCAAAGCACTTTGTGTTTTCCCTTAGGATACCCCAGTAAGGTGCCTTTATCACAGGCTGCAAGTTAAGGCAAAGCCCAGCTAAGCAATGCAGCCCCAGTAACACAATTTATCAGCAGTAAAGACAGCCATGGGGTATCTGCAGGCTGAAAGGGACCGAAAGAATTCCTGCCAGAGCAAATCACACTGGGAGCAAGGCCACTGTTCCCTCTGCAGTTTCTACTAGAACAACTTTTGTTCTGCCACAGCATGGGATTAGCATGGCTGTGGCCCCAGAAACACGGGTGCCACCACCCTTACCGCTCACAGTTGGGTCCCGCGTAGCCCGGCTTGCAGAGGCACTGCATGTTGGAGCCCTTGCGGACACAACCGACAGCAAAACTGCAACGACAAGGGGTGAACGGGAAGGTGCAGGCACCTCACTGACGTGGTGCTGGAGGGTCAGTTACTTGGCGTGGACTGCTGGGACCTCGGGCAGGAGAGTGGGTTTGGGGCCACGGACAAGGCGCACCCCCCAGCACCAAACCAGTGCCCTGACGTGGGCCAGTCTGGTTCCCAGCAGTTAAATGAGGGGGGAAACGGGCAATTCCAATGAGGGGTGCTCACTTGTTGGAGGCAACGGAAAGAGGACACGGACATCCGACACACTGCAGGGACCCTTCAGCAGAGTGGCTGCCCACGTAGCCGTCCTTGCACTGCTCGCAGTGGTCTCCCTCTGTGTTGTGCTGGCAGTTCTGCAAGGACAAGGCAGGCTGCGGGCTCAGCACTGACAGCAGGAAGCAGTGGCTCGCACAGACAATTCCCCACCAGATATCTGGATGCTTTGGTCCTTCCTCTTTCCTAAAACTGTTTTTCACCTGAGGCTGACCCTGAGTGGGACCACCCCTGAAATGGCACGTGCAGCTAATGCTCTGATTCAAGCGCGGTCCCACTGATGCAGTTTGCACGTGAAGAGCTTTTTTAATCACACACTACAGCTCTTCCAAGCCCAAAATACCATGCTGGTGCACTGTTTACTTACAAGGCATATCCCAGACCCTGGCAGGCACTGATCTGAGTGGCCGTTGCAATGACATGGGATGCATTTTCCCAAAAATAGCCCCTTGGTGTCCCTGTAGTAACCTGGAGCACATTCCTGAGGAGAGAGGAGAAGACAGAGACGTGAAAAACAGCCTGACAAAGCAGAGACTGATTTAGTTTCCATGACAGAATTTCCACAGGGCTGTATAGATAGAGAAGAGATTAAAAGCAAACAAAGATTTTTTCCATGCAGCTCTTTTCCGTTCCTCATCAGTTCCAGATAATTGCGCAGGCAGTAGGACCTACTCCAAGATACTGCTAGAACTTGATTTTGGTCTTCAACACCTGAACAATTTCCCCATCCTGCCTTTTCCAAGAGGCCAGATGCAGCTAATTCATGTCTCTCCAGTGTGCTGTGCTGTGGTGGAAGGGAAGCTGTGAGCAGTCTGGTGCGGAGGAGCTTGGGAGATGTTGTTCCTCCCTCAGACACAACCTGAGCTACGATTAAAACTAAAGCCCTCAGGGATCAATGATCCAAGCCTCATGGACTGCCACCTGCACCAAGCACAACAGGTGTCTGAGGCCCCAAATGGTGGTTGCTCAACTACTCTCTGCCTGGAATTGCATGTGCCCTTTTGCCCCTACCTGGCAGGAGTCTCCCTGGTAGTTAGCTGGGCAAAAGCACAACTCCACGTTGCTGGCTTGGATGCCCGTAGCTGTATCCGTTGCAATCTCCAGGACCACACGGCGCAGGGACACAGATGAGGAGAGTTGGGAGAAGAGTGCCCGTATTTGCAGCTGCTCCAGGTTTGCCAGCACCATCATGAGCTCCTCTCTAGACACAGGGTTGTGCGTCTCCGTGTGCCTGAAGTTACCCTAGTGGGAGAAGACCTGACATTACTGGCAGAAAACATAAGCCTGTATTTTGTTCCAGGCACTTGGACATCCAGCCTAACCTTCACTTCCCTGCTGTTGGGATGTCTCCCCTTTGCACAGGTAAAACAGTTCCCGGATTTTCACAGCCAGTTCTGCTGCAACAGGCAGTAATAAAAATACTGAGCTAAACAATCCTCCCTTCTGCCTACATGCTAGTCTTGTCCTTTCAGTAGCATCTGAACACAACGTGGTACACACGTGTGCAAACTCACCTCCACCAGCTGCAGCTGACCTTCATGTACTCCCCCTGGGGATGGGTAGGAGCCTTCCAGAAACATGATGCTCATCTGATTTCCCTGGGAACAGCAAGAAAAGTGTCAGTCACCACCTCATCCCGCTCACGGTAGCAAGAGTCACCAGAGAATTTCTCGGGCTGCACCTTCAGGATCACATCGGGGCGGGACTCCATTGGAATGAAAACGTCGCCCCTCCGGGGGTCGGAGTGGAGCTCGTAGCGCAGGTGGCCACCGTAGGAGGAAACCTGAGGGAGAGACGGATCACATACATTGCTGCAAGTCCACACCAGGACCTGAGTCAGAGCTGTCCGTGCTCAATCATGAGTGAGCCATGCCTGCATGCTTGTGGGCACACTGCTGGCATGCACATTGGTGTTGTCGGGGCTGTGTGTGGCTGCTGGTCCTGCTCTCGCTGTGTTCTTACCCGGTCCCCGAGGTAGGAGCTGGGTGCAACCCAGTAGAGCTCCTGATAGGCATCTGGGAGGTTCTTGAGATCAGCGCGGAGGAGCTGCTCCTGCAGGCTCAGGGATGTTGGCACTTCCTGGCGGTCACTGCTCAGCAAGAGCCACCTGTTCATGTCAATGAACTGCAGGGAAAGAACAACCGTACGTGTTTTCCAGAGAGCCCTCACTATGGCCTGGTGGAGCTACAGAATGTATTTGGGTGCTGACGCTTTCCAGTACAGCTGAAAGGATGCCAAGAGGGTCACAACCTCCCTTGCATCTTGATGAAGCCACTGGGAAGCTGAGCTCCAGCCCCACGTGGCATAACCCTACTATGCCTTTCCACCCTACGAGGCCCCAGGGACCAGGAAAAGGGGCTGAAAGTGGGAGATGGGCACAGGATGACAAATAACCTTCCTCACAGGCTGTCTTCTAGAGGGTTAAGATCAGTGTGGGATGGAGACCCCGAGGCAGCAGAGAGCCAGGCAGATGGGAACACAACTCATCAGCTCCCTTACCTCAGCTCGGTACTTCTCAGCGCTGCGGCAGCGATCGGTCGCACCAAAGCAGAAACACTTGGTGCAACCCTTGGGGTTACTGGCATCCAAAGAAAATGTCCCCAGGCGGCACTGGTCACACCTCGGGCCCTCCACGTTTTCCTGGAAGACAAGCAAAGCTCAACAGTGTCAGCAGCTCCTTGCTAGGCCTTAGCAGAAGACAGAGATGGCTGTATGAGTGGTTCAGACTGCCTGGCTCCCCAGCAACTGCCTGATAAGTGAGCCCTTGCAGCCACGAAAAATAGGGAAAAGAAGCCTTTCAGGGTGTTCTGAACAAACTACTCCTTGAGTCTGGCTCCCTCTTGGCCCACCAGACACCCGTAGCCCCCCATGCTGAACATTTTGCCAGAGCAAGGAGACTCAAGCCGAGCAGAAATGCACCACGTGAAAATGCTGAAGGACTGACCTTGCAGTGACACTGCCCTGTGACCGGATCGCACGTGCTCGCTTCCGTGCCAGCTGGGTGGCAGTCGCAGCGCTGGCAGTTGGGGTAGTGGTAGTAGCCGGGGGCACAGAGGTCGCACTGACGCCCTATGACATTGGGCTTGCACCTGCACAGGACACATGATGCAGCGTTAGAAACCTCAGCCTCACGCTGCTGTGTGAGGATCAGTTGGATTTTTTAGAGCTTCATCCGTGCTGGCAGGGACACAGTGCTGACAAGGACTTCCCCATCCTGCCTGTTTCCTCCCTGCAGCCTGCCAACAGGTCCAGTTACTCCCCCAGGGACTGGAGAAGCTGCCAGGTGTGCCCTGGGCAGGGACAGGGCTCCCTCACCTGCACTGCCCGCTGTCCACATCGCAGCCTGGCTCTGTCAGCTCCTGCACGCCCTGCCGAGAGCAATTGCAGTCCTCGCACCCGATGAGGGGGTGGCAGCCAAAGGTCTGGGGCTCACAGACAATGCATTCCGGCTTCAGGGTGTGCGGAGGGCAGATGCATTGCCCCGTCACTTCGTCACAGAGACGTGTCCCACAATCACAGGCTGGAAGAGGCAGAAAGAAGCCGTGTTTATGAAGGCAAGACCCAGGCAGCTGAAGACAAAACGGCCAGAGCAGGAGACAGGATGACTTACGCCTGCAGTTGGGGAAGCCCCAGTAGCCGGTGGCACAGCGGGAGCACTCTCGCCCGATGACGTTGGACTTGCAGGGACACTGCCCGCCAAAGGGCTCACACTGGCTGCCCCGTGCCCCAGCCTCATGGCACTGGCAGGGCTGCGCCCCGTTGTTGTAGAAGAGAGACAGGGAGATGGCAGAGTCGCGGCAAAACCTCGACGATGTGCTGGGACTGCAGGGGAAGGCAGGAGGAGTCACTCTGGCATGCCCTCCCAACCTTCCCACCACCCCAAAATCCATCAGAATGTCCCACAGAGACACTGAACTGGTGGGATGGAGAGCCCTGTGACACTGAGATCCCCCAAACACCCCTGGGTTTGGTCAGTAGATAAGGAAAGCATTAACCAGAGCCCTCCCCTGCCACGCACAGTGCCTGCAAAGGCAAAAGGTTGTTGCTTTCTGTGGAGCATGCAGCCCTCGTACAGCAGAGCAGCCACCCAAAGCCTCACTTGATGTAGAAGCTGTTAATGCCACAGCTGCTGATGAAGTCATAGGACTTGTCCAGGGGTTCCTCCTGCAGGTACTGAGAGCTGTAGCTGTCTTCTGGCACCACAAGGATGTAATCCTGCAGCAAGGACAAGATGGGTGAGACTGAGCTGAGCTGGACAGATGTGAATCCTGCCCTCAATTCTACGCCACTAGCACTGGAGATTGCAACTTTCGAAGGTAGTTCAGAAACTGAGGATGGTGGGAAACATTCTTATGGTGACACAGATGCAAAAATCCCCAAGCCCTGCTGGAGCCTGGTCCAGCATGCCAAGGGGCTGCCCAGAGTGAGACTCACCAACCACAGCTGCTTGCCCTCTGGCACTCGAACCACCACAGTCAGATCATTATCAGTAACGTCCAGGATAATCTGGTCCTCAGAAACTACCAGGCTCCGGCACCCATAGCCATGGGGACAGAAGGTCGCATTGGTCTGACCTGAAAAAGCAACAGACCTCTTGGTCTCGCATTTCCCTTGCAGACCTCACCACACCCTCCCAGTCTGAAAGAGCTGAGAGTCAGTCTTCATGCTTACATTCCTCAGAGAACCCAGTTATTCTCTAGCAAGAAAACTTTCTGGAGCCCCTCTTACAGAGCTGCTGCCTATCAACAGCTTTCCCCAGGGCTCTGCTCATCTCACCTTGCCAGATGCGCCCCCCGTTGATTAACACTTCCACAGGGAAGGTGGGGTGGTTGGGCTGGTAGTAGTGCAGGATGAAGGCGTAGCGTCCCAGGTTCTGAATTCGGCTGTTGAACACAACAGCATCCTGGCCCCAAACACGAGAACAGAGAGACAATAAATAAATAAATAAAATTAAATCTGATGCCCACACTTACGCCTGCTTGTTTTTCATTTATTAGTGCACAGACTTGTGCTCCTACTGCACAACTGTCAGGTAACAGTCAGACATTTGGTGAATCAGCCTCCCTTTCCTCCTCACTCCCCTTTCTAACAGTACCACCTGCACAGCTGGGAGTCCAAAAAAACAAGCAGGGCAGGAGGGAGGTAAGACAGGAGAGCCCATGGGAATTACAGGTTCAGGGACAAGTTTAAAGTCCTGATTAAATTCGGAAAAGACTAACTGCTAAATTGTTAAAGCTACCGAATAAAGAATGAAAACTGTTCCATGCCCCAGCTGTCCAGTGTTACAGCACCACCATGACACCCACCCCACGCCCATGCTGCTACCTGGGGCTGTTGCAGGAGGATGAGTTTTGCAGTGGGGTCCACAGCTGTGGGAGGCCGAGGTGCAGGCTCCAGCGGGACCCCGGCTGGAACCACATGGACTGCCTGAGCCAGGGGAACATCAGAGGCAATGGGCAGAGCCTGCCCCCCCTCCAAAATGATTGACTGGGAAAGCTTCATAAACCTTGAGGGAATGCAGGAACTGCTGCAAAAGAAGAAGATGGGATGTTAGGAGAGAGGCTTTGCTGATCCTGGCAGGATAAGCACACCCTATAACACCCTTAGGATTATGAAGGATGCCTGCGGAGGGAGAACTTTCTACTGGAACCTGGAGCTCTGGGACACATGCTCAGCAGGAAGAACAAAAATTTTGCAAAGGCTAATTCATGTGCAAATATTTATTTAGGGCAGCATTAAGAATTTGGATATAGTGAGTGTCCCTTGCCATATGTGAGCAAGCACAAGAAAGCCTGTTCATGATGACAGCTGAGGATCTGCCCCAGGAAGCAACGTGGTGTTTAGGGAAAGGAGCAGCTGCCTGACTTCCAGTCTTTGCTCCATCACTGCCTGCTTGGTGGCCATGGGTGAGGAGCTTCACTGCAGCCTCCTACACCAGAGATTTCTTTCTCCAGTGGCAAGAATTTAAGAGGGCTTTTGAGAATAGCCACATTCACACTAAAATCCCGAGGGATTCTGTTACCTGTTGGATGAGAACGTGCCATGGACACTGATGCAATGCACCTTTGGCTCGACAAACTCCATGGTGAACTGAGCAGCGGGTACGAGGTACACCTTGTGCTGTAGGGCATGAGAAAGAGAGACACTTGGTTACACAACAGCCTTTGCCACCGTGACTCCACAGCAGCTTTGGAGTCCACCTTTAGCATACTGAACACCCCCCTTGTCAGACACGTTGGCTAATGCACAGCAGGCTGCACCCCTGCTTACTGCCCCTCCTTCCCTGGTACAAGCCCTACGGTGTTTAGGAGCTCCATGTATTTATGGGCTTCTTCTATCCTCAGCTAAGCAACCACGAGAATGTCTCCAGGTAAAATGGGAAGAGGCACTGCCACATTGCTCAGAGCTTCCTCTGCAAAGAGCAGCTTCTTCTGACCACCTTCTCCCAAACCCACGTCTCATGATCTATTTCACAACACTGCTGAGCACACTCTCCACCTTGGACTGCTCATGACTCAGATGGAGATCTAGTATCCAGCCCAGTGAGGAGCAGAAAGCCCTTCTACAGAGTAGGTGCTGCTCCTGCCTCTCCTCCTTGCAACCTGCAAACAGAGCTGCCCTCGCAGGTAGCCTTACCAGGAAGAAGTCAGCCAGATCAGCGATGAACCGAATTGTGGCCTCTGAGGTAAGTTCAAAAGTTGCCAAGCGGCTCTGGGAATCTACAGCAATCCCTCGACAAAGGAAACTGGGAGACAAACACAGATTTTGAGGCCAGCCTTGAGCAGGGTCACGATCTATTTCTTGTCTTGCCAGCTATATGTCCTGAAGGCATTTATACAAAGTCCCTGTAAATCTTTTTTGATGCCTTTTCTGGCAAGTCATAAGAGTGAAGTTTCCCAAGGACAGCCCAGACATTTGTTTCCTATTGCAAAGGTTGCAGTCTGAAATCAGACACTTCTATTGTAAGGGACAGGGTTTGACCTGCACCATCAACTCCAATAAACCCACTGTAGGCTGTTCCCTAAATCAGGGCCCCTAACAACGTACCCAGCTGTAAAGGGGAGCAATACATCTCTTGGCAGAGGTACTACAGGATTACACCGGCACAGGTAGCATTCCAGGGGTACCATGTAGTTCCTAGGGACACCAGTCACTAAAACTGCGTCCAGCTAGGCTGAGTTTGGAGGTACACAGCTTAGATACACAAAGCTGCAGCATTCTTTGTTTATGTGATAAAGCAGAAAAAGCTCGACTGAGGGAGTCTGTCCTCACCACGTCACAGGAAGATCAAAACCCTTCTCTGCCTCAGAGCTGCCCATACCTGTAGACACACGGGTAGAAGGTGAAGGTGCCCTGCTGCATGGCCAGGTGTGGCGAGCTGACAGCAACGCCGACTGTCTGCAAAGCGTTGGTGTTGGCGTACTCCACCAGCAGCACGTATTGTCCGGGCTGAGCAATAGGCAGCGACAACTGGACTTCCACCTGGAGGACAGAGAGACAATTGAAGGGGGGTCTCCTGGCCCACTCCCCACAGCGAGTGCATGCAGGATGCCTGTGCTGCAAACCAGCCTCCTCTGCACAGCCCATGCACAAGCTGGAGTTTGCACCTCTCATGGGAGGAGATATGTCACAGCACTCATTTGTGATATTTCAAGTGATCCTGATTCCAAAGGTGTTCACAGCTTTATTCCTCAAATTGATCTCCCTCTGCCCCTGTGGAGCAGTTACTGCTCAGTGAATCAGGACAGGACAACCCATATTCAAAGGCACATGCTGCTTGTTTGCTCAGAGAGATTTGTTCCAGATTTACACCTTGAGATTTGTCTTTCTGTGTTCTTTTGGCTGCAGAGTATCATCACTCTGCTACCTGCAAGCTGTAGACTCTCAGGGAACACTCTGGGGGTACAAGGAGAGACTGAGGGGACGAAGTGACCACAGTACTTGTGCAAGGAGTGGAACAGAAGTGCTACTCACATCGTTGCCGCTGCACGTCGCCATCCAGGGATGGAAAAGCGTGAGCTGCTCCGTGGGACACCCTCTGGGTAAGCGGTTATCCAGCCTGCACACCGCGTCCACCCCGGACACCGCAGGGAAGCCGTCCACAGACAGGTACTTATACAAGAGGCAGCTAAAAGCATTGAGAAAGAATTTGGGAAGTACTGCTGTTAGATCAAAGTTGTAAGAGTCAAGAGCACCCGTGTGACAGGATCCCAGCAAGGTCTGAAGAAGGCTTTGGTCCAACATGAGGGCTCCAGCACCCAAAGGAGCATCTCGGGGTAGTGTGGAGCAAGACAGTGTGTATTATAGGGCCACCAAGGGCAGTAACAACAAAAAGCTTCTCCACTTGCAATGTTCTTTATACTGATGATCACTGCAACTAGTGGAGGGGACAACTAAAGTCCAGAATCCAAGCAGCATTCCTGCCAACATGGACAGAGAGGTCCTGGGCACTGGGAACACATTCCAGCACAGCAAAGGGGCTATGGTCTTATCAATCATGGCAAGATGTTATCAACCACGGCAAGTACTCCACAAAGCAGTTTTACTGCATTCAGACCCTCGCAGAACGTGGACTGTGTGTTATTTCTTGACCTCATGCCAAGAGGAGCTAGAGAGTAGATCTCACACAGCACAAAGATGTGGTGACTCTTACTTCTGGGTAGCTTGTTCTGGGGCTGGTTGGTATGTACAGGGCTCCGTGACCTTTAGCTGCAGGATTGGAGCTTCATAGTATGAGCTGGGCAGCAAAACCAGGTAGTCCTAGGAGGAGAAATAGGAGAGTTAGTTCTATTTGGGACACCTGCCCCCAGGGAGCTGCTGAAGCTCCCTGTGGTGGACGGAGTGCAGGGACTGCTCCTTACCAGCAGCACACCCTCTGCTTCAACAACCAGAGACCAGGTGTTGGGGTTGAGTACGAATGGCTCCCCAAAGCTGTTCTGGGGGACGGTGACAAAGGCTGGCTCTGTGCTGGGTGCAAAGACAATCTGCTTGGTCTGCTCTGTACCTGGAGTGGGAGGGACAAGAGGCTGTGAAGGCATCGGGGAGGAGATGGGAAGCCTGGGGCTGCAAATCAGAGGTTATGCTGAGGGGAGCGGCTCTGTAATGCAGCAGGGAGTCCTGGGATGCTGCTCTTTTGGTGCTGCTGTAGCAGAGGCACCACAATCCTACACCAACCCGTAACAGAGGCATCCACTCTAAATCTACTCAGTAGCTTAATGGGAGAAAAAAAATGATCTCTGCAATCCTTGATGATAATCCACGGCTCTCACAGTGTGCTCTGCCTCCCTGGACTGCAAAGCACAGAGTACTGCATTCCAAAGAGCAGTTTGGCTGCTAGAGAAGGAAGTTCTCTGTAAAGAATTTATTCTGAGACAGACAAAAAGAATTGCCCAGGTACACTTTTCCTTAGGGGTATTCTCACCCCAGCACCATGGGCAAGATACCTGCCTTCTGGCAAACTCTCAGCCCCTCAGTCTGTGCTCCTTTCTTGTCAGCAATAAACTCTCTGTGCCTGAGATTTAGACATTGATTTTAACTGACAGGACAGAAGAGATTTTAGTCCTGATCCTGCTGCAGTTCAACAGCTCCATGGCTCAGCTGACACATTTCTGTAACCTTTGAATTCATTAACTTTGGATGCAAAAATGAAAACAGCACCTAGGAGCAGACTGCCTGCCTGTTTACAGTCTCAGGAGGGTTTTGAAGCACACGATTAAGAAGGATTCACTGAATGTGGCTGCATGGGGAGCAGATGAGATGAAGAAGTGGAGAATGTCACACTGACAACCCTAGTATTGTACATGGGCATCAAGGCATAGTGCAGAGGGTCAGAAGCTATAGCGAGGACTTGTGCTGCTGCTGGGGTAAGGCAGCCTCTTCTGTGTGCTAGGTCTGCAACACGCCTGGCACCGGCTGAGGCCAAGCCCTCACTTTCTCAGATGGGAAGCAAAGGTGAGGACGCAAGGAATGAAGAGATTTCCCTCAACAGGCAACGGGGCAGATTTCCTGAGCAGCTGAAGTGTGACATCCCTTTGACTGGATGCACAACTCAAACTGAGAGGGGTTGTGGAGGCGGGGCAGGACAAATTGGTCAGTAGATTATATACCTGGAAAAGGCTTCCCTGTTTGCAAGCCACATCTTCTCACTTATCTTCTTCAAGCAGGGAGAGAGAGAATGGTTCAATCTGTCCTTTCAGTTTCTTTCCAAGTCACTTGTCCTTTACCATCAGAAGCCCATTCTACCCAGGCAGTGTTTCTGGAGCCAGTTTGGCCTACCAAGGAAGCTGCCCACCTAGATCCCATTGCTGCTGTATTGGTCAGGCAGTTTGCCTTCAACACTACAAAAACCAAGTGTTGCCTTTGAGCAAAGAGGGAAACCCATCATAAGGCAAATGAGCTCTGCCGCTGGATAGAAAAGATTAAATACTTCCAGACCTTTGGTCAGATCCTGAAGCATGAGTGTGGCTCATGCTTCTCTGGGCTTTCTGCTGTGTATTATGGCTATAAAAATAACCAGCTTTTTTTTTTTTTCTTTTTTCCCTCAAAAAAAGGTAGAAAAATAGTATCTTGGCATTTCAAACCTTGCATATGATATCAAAGGCAAAACATCTTCTATGTCAATTTAAGACAGAGGACAGAACTTCACACTGATACGTTAGTTAGCTGATGTCAACAGCTTTGTACAGGAGGACAATGTCAATGCAGAGTTGTTAAAGTGGTAAAAATAATCAGCCAGCTGTGCCCTAAGGTACTTGCATGGCTTCAGCTCTGTCCCCATGCAATCTTGCTCACACTGATTCCCAGAATAATCGATTCCCAGGTCTCTAGGCTTGTTCAGCCATCTTTTGGTGTCTCGTCTTCCTCTCCAGCAGCTCATGCCTTGGTAAGAAACTAACCACCTGAGTGCATAGCCTGTATAACACATGCAATTCCAAGCCACTTCCAAAGCTTGCACTCTGCAAAGTCAGCAGCCTGGCTTGAGAGAAGCACAAGGCGAGGACAGGCCTGCCACATGAGGGCATCTGTGAAATAAAACCATGCCCAGCAGCCAAAGTTTGGATCCAGCTCCCAGCATTGGGCCTGTTCTGGTTTTGTGGAAACTCAGCTCAGTTCTGCCTGGGGCACTGAGGCGATTCTGACCCTTGCTGGAGAGACTGCACCTAGCTGTACAGCAGCCTTATCCAACAACAGCCTGGCTGGTAACAGTCCTCAATGCACAGCCCCAGGGCTGGGACCAGCCTGCCACTGCTTCGTTAAATAAGGGGGGCTGCAGGCTGAAATCAGCCTTTGAGTTGGCAAGGCAGGACTAATGGGATAAAGCCGTATGGAAGTGTCTTCTGGAAAGGATGATGCAGAAGGTTGCCTGGGATGGGGAGGAGGTGGCGATGGTGCAGGGGAGCAGGGCAGTCTGGGATCCTTACCTCTCCTTCGTGGCTGATAAGCTGTAATTTTGCCATACACAGTGGCCCCTCCTGAATTAATATACCTCAGGATGACATGGAACAGATAGAGCTCTGCCTCCTTCACGTCTACAGTGACTCTGATTTTATTCTGCAAAAAGCAAAAAAGCACATGGGGCACACGTCACTGGGAGGCCAGCTCCTGGCCGCTCACCCATGCTGCGGGAGAGCCTGACCCGCCTGCCTGCCTGCCTGCCTGCCTGCCTCGCTTCCCCCTCCCTTGCTACCCCAGGGCACAGCACTGGCCGGCCGTCTGGGATGGGGACGCTTGGGATGGGCACACTTGGGATGGGCACACCTGGGACAGGAGAAGGGGGCGGAGGAGTAGTGTCGCAGTGTGGGATGCTCTGAGTTAGGCTAGAAGCGAAAAATGCACTTACAGTTGTCACAAACATTAAACTTTCCTTCCTCAACGACCGAGACCCTCCCTTCCACACTGGCGGGCCCCCGGCTGACGTAGCGGAAGACGAGGCGGAAGAGGTCGGGGGAAGTCACATTGAGGGTCACCACTACCTTGGGCTGGTGGAGAGAGAAAGGGGAGAGAAGCAGAGCACACCTTCAATTACCTCCACCGCCGACAGCCACCAGCCTAAGCGCAGCCGCTCGGCTCACTGCTCCCAAAGCGACATGCCACAGCGCAAGGAGAAGACAAGCACATCGGCCCTGCCTCGCCACGCTGTCCCTTCCAGGGCCACCCACGGAGGGAACAAACTGCTTTCAGGAGTTGGGTGGAGAGGCTCCAACCCCATGGGGAAGATTCTCTGGCACAGCGGGGTCATTCGGCTATCCTGTGGCACACGCCGTGCCAGAGGAGAGGTTTTAAGAAGTTGTTTTTCTTATCTGCGTGTTGCTTCTGGGCTTTGTGACATAACCAGCTGGCAGGGACCAAACCCTGAAGCTCCTGTGCTTACAGGTCTCTGCCCAGATGCCTACAGAGAAGGCTACAAATGGAGCTGGTGCCTCATCCCCAGAAACCCGCAGCGCTACAAACTAGTGGTGCCAAGGGAACGTGCCACTGAGGGACGTGTCAGCCCTCCGCCTGTCTGGACACTGTTTGGGAAGGTACCAGCTAAGTAGATGCTTCATCCTACTCGTTTTAAAGAGATCTAAGCACCTGCTTAAATACCCTTCTTCCTAAAGAGTGAAGCAGGGGCTATGTCTGGGGAGACTCCCTGAAGCTCCAGTTACACACCTGCTTCCCACTGGAGAGCAAACTGGAAGGACCTTGCAAAGAGCAAACTACAGGAGAGACCTGCCAGCAGAAAGCCATGAGCTTGACCTTCTGCCAAAGCCTATTTCTATCTCATTGCCAACGCTGGATGCAAAACAAAGCCACGAGCTTGAGCATGAGCTTCATACTTAAACCTTAAGGCTAGGGTTTTCTCAAGGCAGCCTACAGCAGTTTGTTGCCTAGCTCTTATGTACAAATTCAACGGGAAATGGCTCATATTTTTGTCCCTTCTGTTATTTCACTTAAGCATGTAAAAAGCCAAGAAAACTGAAAGTAAATGCACCAGAATAAGGAACATCTTACATGGGACAAGACTGTCAGAGAATCACTGCCCTGCACCCCATCCCCAAACACGCACACAGGTGACGCTTCTGCAGGTGCCATGCAGAAGAAGAATCCACCCAAGAAAAAAAAAATAAAAGAAAGGTCAACAAATGAAATAGCTTCATCTGTGGGGCTCAGACAACTCCCGGTTAGTGTAAACCATCATTATGGCAAACCATCTATCAGCAAGAGCAGAGGCAGACCAGTAACAAGAGATCCAAGCCAGACATGGCAGCAAAGAAGGATCTAATTTATTTTTGGAAAAGGGAGAGAAGGTTATGCAGAGAGATGCAGGAAAGAGCAGAGTCAGATGGAATAGCCACAAGGAAACCCAGATACAGTGTTTACAGACATCCCTGTAAGTAATCACCAAGCTACCACCTTTATCTAACCGGATTAGGATGTCAGGGGACTCCCAATTTAGGATCTTTCCCCTCATCAGTCTATGCTGTCCCTAGCACTACAGGAAATATCTGCACAAACAGGCTATATATATTCCCTGTGCTGTTTATGTTGGCTGTCATGTGACTTTGGGGGTTTGAGAAGCACTTGGGGTAAAAGTTGTGTGCCAAAAGCACGTCAGCTCTCCACCAGCCACATCCTCTGCAGGGGGAGCTGGGCTGGGCCGGAGGCAGCAGGCGTACCTGGATGGAGGACATCTGCGCGTATCCTCGCCAGCTGAACCCCTCAAACTCCAGGGGGTTGTAGCCAAAGCGCACGGCCCGGCCGGCTGGCGTGGTCCCTTCCTCCAGCTCAAATTTCAGGTGGTGAAGGTCAGGGAAATAATGGTCCCGGGCAGGTCTGCGGAAGAGAAGGAGCACCATTACCTAGTTATCTGGAAGGAAAAGCTCCTGACCCGCTCACCACCGTTCCCTTGAGCCTTTTGAGGTGTTAGATGTTAGTGACGGACCCTTCTGCATGCCACCCCTGCGGGCAGGAGGACAGCTCTGCCAGGCACATGGCTGATGTGGCAGCAGCCTGGATGGTCAGGTCCCCATCCCAGTGAAGGCAGAGGCCACCAGCCCCGAGGCAGCGAACGAGAGGCCGGGCACCCTGAGGTGCTAGCAGCTTACTGAGAGCAGGTGGGGCCGCGTGTGCTCTGACGGCAGCGACAGGCTCCGCTCCGCTCCTCGCAGGATGGCCCCAGGGACCCGCCAACGTCGCAGCGGCAGCCTGTGGGCAGGAAGCGCCTGTTTACATTCCCCCCGTGCTAACGAGCTCCTGGTCCCTAATCAAAGGCGCGCCCCAGCGGGTGGGGAGGCTGGGGCCACTATTTTTATTCCATTGTATCCGTTTTCATATTGGCCCCGGCCCCACTTGGACCAGCTCCTCTTCCACCTCAGCGCCGAGCTATTTCCAGACGGCTGCGGGAGTAACAAGGTCTGCAAACCCTCACGGCCGGGTGCCGCAGCCCTGCCGCCAGCAGCAGCCTCGCTCCCTCTTCCCAGCCCTTCCGGGACCGTGTGGGGCCAGCCGACAGCGGCCGGATCTCCTCCTTCCTCTCTTCTCATGGGCACCATGGAGAGCAGCCAACCCCACGTCCACCTGCTCCCGGCAGGAGGAAGATGGGGTGCAGCTGCAAGGACGTGAGCGATGGTGCAGCACACCAGTTTCTGAGGCAAGCAGCACCCAGAGGGCTTTTGTTCCCCAGCGTGATGGACATTTGTCCATTGTCCACTAGCATCTACCCAGTTGGGTCTCCAGATACACAGCAAGATCCAACACCTGCTGTGGACCATGGTTTGTTCAAAAGCAGGAGGTGGGACATGCCCTGCTCCTTTCCTCCGAGGCCACCAGTCAAGGGGGATGTGCAGACACATGTTTTAGGGCCAGCTTTTGTGCCCTCCCCCCTTCACCTGACACACCAGAAGGGGACTCACCTTGGCAGCCAAAGTAATTTGCATTCTCCATGCTGAAGTAGCCATCCTTGCATGTTGAGCAGAACTGGCCACAGGTGTTCGGTTTGCAGAAACACTGCCCATCACCCTAAGAGAGAGCAGGCAGAAAGAAGAGCTTGTTCCCTCCCGCTGCTCGTCATGGCTGAGCCATCCCTCAGCTATTTGGGTCCTAGTCTGGGATACTGGAGGAGCACTTTGAGTTTCATGCTTCCTGTGCGTGGGTGGGCCAGATAAGTGCAATTACCCAAAAATGCAGGCAAACAAAAAACCAGGCATCCTGGGCCAGACACAGAAATATTTAGGTGCCTAATTTATGACAGGTCTTAATCCTATGTTCTCATGCAAGCACAGATTGTGGTGCAACCTTTGAGAGCTCAGCGTCAGGACAGGCTTCTCCAGCAGCAGCTGCTGGAGACAGAGACAAAACGTTCCCAGCACAGCACAGACTGGGAGGTGCCCAGAGGCAGAGAGGAACAAACTCACCTGCTGGCACTCTGCGATTCCGCTGATGGTGCCCTTGGTATCACACTTGCAGCCTGGAGAAGGGGAGATGAACAAGAAAGCCAAGAAAAGCAATCAGCATCTGAGGAGAAGCCTGACGGGTGACTTGTCCTGACTAGGACAAGAGGAGCTGGGAACTGGGCAAGCAGGGGGTAGCACTGCACAAGGGCTCCCTTGTCATTTTGGGGCAGTTACTGTTGCAGACAGCTGTGGAAGACATTCAACTTTTCTGCACAGCAGGCCATGAAAATCTAAGTGTGCAATGTCTGCAGGGATGGCTGAGAGTGGCACAACTCACTGCACGAGCCCTGTGTTCTGTACCAAGCAGAAAGATTTGGGCTCTAACCTCTCCCCCTCCCCAGACTCCTCTACCTTTGACCTGTGTCTCACTGGGAAAAAGGAAGGAAAGCTATCACATCTATCCAGCAATGATGATCCCCACAGGCTTAGGTGTGGGTCTTGCACCATTACAGCACGGAAGGGGCTTTTTGAGGCTGGGCATGTGCCATTTCCTTACTCGTGCAGCCGTAGGGATTCTCCGGAGTCAGGTTCCAGTACAAGGGCTTGCATCTGTCACAAGCTGGGCCTTCAACGTACGCCCGACACGCACAGGAGCCCTGGAGAAAGGGAGGAGGAGAAAGGAGCAGGTGAGGACTTGCAGCACAGTGGCTGGACGTGGTGTCTGCTACCCTTGAGAGGACAATGGCTGTTTTCAGCACTGTGCTTAAGGAAGGATTCGTCCCAAAGTGAGAAAAAGGGGATCAAGTGAAAAAGTGACCCGAGCTGCTGGCAGGTTCGTTTGGTACTCACCGGGGCCAGTGAGGGATCTGCAGTCATCAACCCCGCAGGGTTACAGGAGCCCACTAGAAAAGAGAGGCACAAGGAGGGATTGATAAAGAGACAGCTCACACCCCGGCTGTTCCTCGAGGTGGTTATTCCTTCCTGACGCAGCTGCTGGGGAGCGACATGCCCATTTACCAGCACCATACCACGTCCCAGAGCAGAATCCCTGCCCCAGGGAGGCGAAGGGGGCTACCTTCACAGTGTGGAAATCCATAGGCGCCTGGCACGCAGCTATCGCAGCGCTGTCCCGTCACTTTGGGCCGGCAGCTGCACTGCCCTGTTTCCTGGTCACACGTGCTGTGCAGAGAGCCCTCCCTGGAGCACTGGCAAGCTGCAAAAGAGGAGAAAGCAACTGCTGGGCCTGCAGGGCACAAAGGCTCCTGCCTTCAAGGCTTCCCACCAGCAGCCTCTTTTGTCTGCCTGACCTTCACCCAAGCAGTCAAAAGCACAGGTTATAAATAACAGACTCGTTCTTTGATTTAGTAAAAAAAAAACAAAAAACAAAAAACAATGCTTTTCACATTTTTATCACAGCCTTTCATCTATAGTGAGGTGTTATTTTGGTGGTGGGGGGAGTTCTGGTTAAAGAAAAGGGAACTGCATGATCTCACCCCCAAAAGGTCAGCAACCAGTGAAAGATCAGACCCTACAGAAGTCTAGGCTCCTAAGAGCAGCGTTCAGCCGTCAGTGTCTGCCCTGGGGCTGTTGAGGACGGGCAGCAGGGTCTGCAGCACCAGACACAGCCGTGGCACTGCCAGCAGCTGAGGGCAAGGCAGGGCAGTGGCTCTGCAGCTTCCTGTATAACCCAACCTGCCTGCTGCGAGTGCACGGAGAGATCCTGCGGCCCTATCGCATAAAAGGTCAGCAAGCTGTCGGGCAGCTCTTGGGAGCTCCTCAAATCCCTGCTCTGATGCCAAGGGGGGAGGTTTTAAGCTGACGCCCTGGCCTGGCACAGCAAAACACTGTTAATTAAGCTATAGATTTAAAAACAAACAAACAAAAACATGTTCTTCTCCTCTTTCCTTGCCATGACTCCTCTACAGCTCTGCTATCTGGATATTGCTGTAGGATATTAAAAAAAAAAAAAGACTACTGAATTCCTGCGAGACCATTTCATCCATGTCTCCAGCCTCTTCAAAGGCATACTGCCGGCATCAGCATTTGCTAGGAGCGCTCTGCCAGCTGGCCGTGGCTCAGGCATCCACATTTAGTATGGTGCAAGAGGGTGATGATGCTCTTTTGTTGCTTCAGGGAAACTGTATCACAGATTATTTTTTAATGAGCAGTAAATTCTTGCCGGGAGACATAAGAGTACATCTGGCTTCCAGCCGGACTGCCGACGGGGAGGGATAGAGGACACTGCCCAGAGCTGCAGAAGGCTATCCAGAATTCCTGGGGCTGCAGGCACCTGCCACAGGCATCGCTCAGCCCTGGCACCAGCAGGAATGATGCAGCACCCAGGGAATCTGCTGTGAGGCTCTCACCATGCCACCTTGAATTTGAGGCTGACTTGAAACCCCAAATCCTGATCTGCATTGTTCAGCCTGTTGTGCAACTGTACTCCAGCTGGTTTCAGCACAGTTGCTGTGCATTGGCATGAACTAGGGTGGAGCAAGCCCTGAAGAGCCCAAATGTGTCCTGTGAGCCATGTCTGAACGTCTCATGGCACCAAAATATAATCTGAACACGTGGTTTGAAACTGCTGGGAAAACATCAGCCTTCTCAGACCCCAGGACAGACAGATGCAACTCAGCAAGTTTTATGTTCATCTGCACACACTTGTTCCAGAGAGGAAATCTAACCCACAGCTGCTCCCCAGTTCACACTGTAGGTCTGCTTCTTCAGAGCTCCCTGGTACAGAGGCCATATATCCAGACTGGGCTGTATCTCCAAACCAAGCAGGCAGACCCAAGCTTCTGCTGTTAGTGACTATGAATGAACTGGGGGAGCCAAAACTGCACAGCCTCTGGGAAGCACTCCTTAGCAATATTTGCCCATTATAAAGCACACCTATCAGGTGGATAGCCAGGTGAACCGTACACAGGAAAACTGATCCCTGCTGCAAGAGCCAGCTGTATTCGTGTATAACCCTTAGACATGGATTATGGACAAGAAAACCATTTCAGTAATAACAGCAGCAGCTCCTCCTCTAGGATCCTCTCCCAAGGGTGGCTACTCACGTGTGCAGCTGGGGTAGCCGTAGAAGCCCAGGGCGCACTGGCTGCAGGTGTGCCCTGCAAAATTCGCCTGGCATCGGCACTGGCCAGCTGGGCTGCAGTTGTTGTCCACCGCACCTCGGGAATCACAGGAACAGGCTGCAAGAGCAAGACTCTCGGTAGTCTGAGAGAACACATGAACTGTGGCCAACCACTGCTGCTCTGAATTGCTGTTCAGTCCCACAGGAAGTAGCTATTTCCATCAGAAATTAATTAATTTCTTAATTCTCCAGAGAGACGGGGAATACTTCCATCAGAAATGAATTTTCTTAATTCTCCAGAGAGATGGGGAATACTTTAATTTACAAACATAGCCATACCAGGAAAATGCCCCTGAGAGGTTTTCACAGCCAATTCAATGTTCCTCAGCAGTTTAGTAGATTAATGCACCAATAAGAGACAAAAAGGCAGGAGCTGAGACACCAGGTCACAGACGGGTTGGGATAAGGAAGTGTGACTGATAAAAAAAGCTTTGTCCTCCAGGCTTTGGCACGATCCATAACCTGCAGAACAAGCCTGCCAAATTCATAGTGCAAATCACATGGGTTTTCATTTTGGGAAGCACCAACATCTGAGAAAAGGCGTGTTTTTTGGAAGGTGACAGGCCAGCAGGAACTGAGTGCTAACCCTCATTAAAACATCCCACGTGAATAACCAAAATTTGAGGCACGCTCATGCGACATGCACGGCTGATGGGTGCTGAGCAGGGAGCTGGGATGGCTTCTCTCCTCTGCGTTCAGCTACACATCACCTCACTCTGCCATGAGGAAACCCCAGATGGCATGAAGCCAGCTTGTTCCTCTCCCGAGAGGTGTTTTGGGGAGACAAAGCACCCCGTGCCTTTCACGGCAGCACTCTGACATGTGGACATCCCCCCCCTCTTCACCTCAACGCTGTGCTCTTACCGTAGCAGTGGGGGTAGGAGTGGTGCCCAGCGCTGCACTGCTCACACCTTGGCCCGGCAAACTCAGGCCTGCAGAAACACCTCCCGGAGGAGTCGCAGCCTCCCGGCAGCGTCCCGACAGCGCTGCAGCCGCACACTGCAAGAGAGAGAAAACGTCTGCTCTGCTCTGGGAGTACAGGACAAAGCTCATGGTAAAATGGGGCTTTTTATGAGGTTCTCAAATGGGCATGTAGGTGCTGCCCTAAGCGTTCAAACTGTTATCTCTTCAAATTTTTGCACATTCTCCAAAATGCCCACAACACCACTTCTGGTGTTCCTTCAAACTCTACCAGAAGACTCTGACTCTGCTGTAACCCTAAAGTTGGCAGAGGCAGACTGCTGCTGTCACCCTGACTGCCACTATTTGTGCACACTTCTTAGTATCTTTTTTCCCAGTAAAGTATCTGTAAGCAGGGCAGAGACTGTCTTCAGACAGTTTTTTGCCAGACCTGATGCACTCTGATCCATTTGCAGGGCAGAGACACGCACACCACCCCCCAGGCTCCTGGAAGGACAGATACTCACGCTGGCACAGCGGGTAGTTGAAGTAGCCGGGAGCGCACTGATCACACGAGTGCCCTTCAAATCCCGTTCGACACAGACACTGTCCTGTCTCGCTGTCACAAGTGCCATCGTACTGACCGGGGCCGGAGCACTGGCAGGCTGGAAAGCAACAAGGACACTAGTTAATTAAGCAGTTACTAGTTAATTAAGCGTTTTTTCTTCCTAGGAAAGGAACCAAGCTGCCTGTTCTTTTGGGGTGGAAATGCAGCCACTGGACACACCACAGGGGACACGGCTGACAGTTAGCATGCCCAGCCCATAGCTCACATCCCTACGGAATTTCTCAAGAGCACCCCGAGGCTGGATGGACACTGGAGGGTTAGGGCTGGGTGGAAAATACCAGCAAAAGTCCTGGGAATTTGTCACTTGGAAGTAGGGCCGGAGAATTCCTCCTCCCCAGCACAACCCGAGGATGGGGAGAGGCACGCTTCTCCCCGGGAGGGAGGCCAGCAGGGGGAGGCTCGAGGCCGCTAACCCAAAGTCACTCACGCTGGCAGCTGGGTCCGTAGTGGCCTGGAGCGCACTGGTCGCAGTGTGTCCCCTGGAAGTTGGGTTTGCACACGCACATCCCCACCCGAGGGTCCTTGCGACAGGCGTTGCCTTCCGTCCCACCGGCGTAGCAATCACAGTCTGCAGGGGGACACAACAAGCAACAACACAGTGCTGTCGGCTGAACTCTGTGCCCCAGAAGTCAGGGAAGGGGTTGCAGTGAGAGGTGACAGCTTAGGTTTGCCCCCTAACTTAGGTTTGCTCCCTAATAACGTTCCTATCAGATGCAAATGTTTTAACCAAAGCCTGCTCAGCTGACCAGCACGGCTGGCTCAGGGGGTTGCAGGGTGATTGGGAAATATCAGCATCACGCAAGGTGCAAGGTGCTGGCCTGCAACAGGGCAATGCACAGGGCAGGCAAACACTGACGGCACAAGCCCAGGAGGCTGATTTGGTGCAGCACTGCCCAAGAGCTGTGCATGAATAACCAAACTTCAGCTAACCAGGGTGGGGTTTGGGCTTCTTCTCTGGCCACTCTGTGCTCAGCTGCATCTGAGCCCTTCTTGCTGTCAGGGCAGGCTGGTGCCCTGGGCCAGCAGTGCTGAGGCTCTCAGCCAACCCTGCCTCCTGCAGCAGCACAGGGGGACGGGCTGGGGAGGGAAGTGCAGAAATCATCCAAGAACCAGAGGAAGGGGGAGGCAGGGAAATGGGAAGGGACATGAGAAGTTCCAGCTCAGGAAAGAAAAACCTGCCTGGAAGATACGGAGTTTAAAATATCAGAAGGAAGGAAAAGGTTATCTCCAGCACGCTGGGGAGCATGAGACAAAGGAGGACTCCGTGGGAAAAGAAACAAAGTAAAGTCAAAGGATGAGATCAAGTGAGAGGGGCGATCATCAGAGAGGAGGGACTTGGAGGGGAGTGTGGATGAGGGCATAGGTGAACACTGAAAACAACACAGGAAGCAACACAGAGCAAGCAGCCGCCTGTGGATGCTTCCCAGGAGTTTGTGCACTTGTGGCTTTGTGCAGCAGGGCTGTCAGCGTGGACCCACTGTGCCTTCCTCCACACGGAGAATGCAGAAAATGCAGGTGTGGCACAGGTACAGGTGTGTACCAAAACCCAAAGATTAAGATCTGGGAGAACACAGCTCGAGTTCCACCTCAGCCACAGCCCCTCCATGGTTTTAGGGTGTTCCTTACAGAGGGGGACATCCCCACTTGGCCTGGACCCACAGTTACTTTCCCCTACAGCTGTCTCCTCTCTCAGAACGACTCTGTTTCAGGGCTGTCCCTTATAACGTACAAGTCCAGTAAGCTGAAGATCTGATCTAACATTAGGCAGCAAGGTTTAACAGTAATAACTGCAGGGTGATTGCCAAAGCAGCAAGGAAAATTGCAGTGCTTACTTATTATCTGTCCCGCAGGGAGCACTTGTTCTCCGGTATCGTTGTAAGCAAAAGCTGGAACAGCTATTTGGAGAAAGAGACACCGCACAGGTCATCGCACACACTCAAAGAAACCCTGTCAGAACAGCAATGGGTTGAGGGTCCCAAAACTGAACAGGCTGAATGTGAAACACGTAACTAAGTGCAGACATCCCACTATATAAAAAACAATTACAGCCATTTCAGACCCGGGCTCTGGAAAGATGTCTTTCTCTCTCCAACACAGAAAGTCAGCGGTCAGACTCTAGACAGATGGGCAGTTCCCACTGACTACAGGGAGTTGGGTTCAGCTCTGCTCTGCTCCAGCCTCCACTGAGGCCGAGCACAGCTCCATCCACACCAGTGGGAACCACTCCCGAGACTGGACTGCCAATGTGGTGTGAAGGAAAGACATCTAAAGAGCAGCCACAAGCAGAGCATTGACCATTTCTGTGCCTGCTGGGTCTGTGAGGTCCCAGACCTGGCATGGCCTCGCTTGCTGTACTTACGGTAGCAGTGGGGGAAGTCGAGGTATCCCTCGGCACAGGCATCGCAGCGCTCCCCGGTGTAATTGGGCTTGCAGTAACAGCGGCCGGTGAGGTCCTCACAGGTGCCATCGGTGAAGTCAGACTCGCAGTTACAGCCTGCAGGGAGGGACAAGCAGCAGTGGCCATCACTGATCAAACCCTTGGCAGCCACAAGCACAGCAGGGGAATTGCTAAACCACAGAATATCTGCAAGAGACCCCACCATCCAATACGAATTCCTTCCAGAAATAAAAAAGAGCGATTTTGAGAGGGTCTGGCTTAGAGGCACAGCCAGCAGTGGTTTGTAGCTACTGGCTGAAAGGGCACAGAGACAGCAGCTAAGATTGGATTTCCGTGGGGGTACAGCAGAGGTGACAACACAGTTTTAGGTCACTCCAGCCTTGGACACACCACCACTTCTGATTTCATGTGTGCTGCAGACACGTACAGGCTGTGTGTGCACACACACTTCCATGGACAATGGCAGCTGCAGCAGGAACTGCCCATGTGGAGCCATCTCTCACAGTGCTAGACTCCCTGCACCAGAAAAATCTCTCATGCCAATCCCCAAACCACCCTCCCCAGCCTCACCAAGTCCAGGAGGGTGTCTGTAACCTGCGGAAGAAATCACACTCACGATAGCAAATGTAGGGAGAGTCGATCGGGTGGTCAGGGGAGCGGTAGTATCCTGGGATGCACCTCTCACAGTTAATGCCAGTGGTGTGATGCTGGAAGACAGGGGGTTACACGGGCATCAGTTCCTCTGCCTGCAGGACAGGATTCATGCTCATCTGCCAGATTTACTAACAGCTCAAGGGCCCAGAGGGAGCAACTCGGGAGTGTCAGCACATAGACCTAAATTTGCTCAAAATTCCATATGCTGGTTTGAAAACAAAGCATTTCCTGCAAACTGCATCCTCCCATAACTCCAGTCTGAGCTTCATGTTCGTATCTGACCTCAAGCCCGTTCTATTTGCTTCAGATGGTAAAAATGTCTTGACCACTTTGGGCTAGGAGGATGGGAGTGACCTGCTTCTTCCCAACAAGATTGCACAGCTAAAATGGTACTACGAGGGGACAGCGAGGGATCGAAGTGTGTTGGTGTCATTACTGCTGCATACTCCTTTCATCTATGGCAAAGAGACCAGATTTCCAGGGAGAGACCCTAATTAATATAACAGAGGGAGTGTAAAGGGGTTGGCAGAGCTGCCAGCAGGACTGAACTCCAGGTGTGACTGCAGAAACACACACACAGGGATCTGCAACAGCCTTTTCCACCAGAGCCCCTCAGGCCTACCTGGCAGTCAATGCAGACACCTCCTCCTTCGTATCTGTCTTCACGACTCTTGCTGGCTTTGTGGCGATCCACCTCGGGGTCGTAATAGCAGTCATAGGCGTGGCCATTGCAGTTGCAAGCTGAAAATACAGAGAGATTTTAGCCAAGTCATCAGTCCTTGGAGGTCCTTCTGTCACCAGCTGGATCTCAAGATATTAACGCTTCCTTGTGGGTTTGCTATTGAATGGGTTACATTTCCATGAGGAAACTCGCTTGAATGCATCTGGGGGAACACCCAAGCTTCCACAGATCTTCCAGTTCAAAAGCACAGAAGAAACAGCTCTTTCACAAGGTCTAGTTTAAAAATGAACAAAAAAAAAATACACACAAAAAAACATGACGGCAGGCACAAAACCAGAAGAAAAATATGTGCAGGCGTGTAGAGACGAGAAAGAGAAATTACCCAACTTCGGGGCCTCAAGTAGCCTGGCTTAGAGGGCAACATTCTTGCTTCTTTTATCCCACCCAGGATGGAGGTGAGCTGTAAAGTTCAGCCTGCTGTCTCTACTAACCCACAAGAATAAGATCTAACTGTCCTTTGCTGCCCTGCACTTAAAAGAGATCGTGCAATGGAGCTGTGCTCTGTGCTCTGCATTCCCAGTGCTGCATAAATTCCAGTGTCGGCATTTACCAAAGGTTTCTCTGGACAAATAAAGATGTCCTGTATGTAAACAGACCCAAACGCAATTCATCTTGGAGACAGAATTGAGCAACGAGACTTGCCTGTGTGAACCCTTGGATATGGAGGAGGAACTGGAGCGTGAGCAGAATCAAAGCCCCGTACAGACCTTGCGGGCCTCCCTGTGCGAGCCTCGACTAAACAAAATTAACCGTCGTGTAAACTCTCTCAGCAGCACTGCTGATCTACGCTGCACCCAGTGCTACACACCACAAACCACACGATTTTGGTGAAAGACTTCGCTGCGCTGCAACGCCGAGGGGCCGGGGAAGCGCGGCCAACCTGTGCTCTGCGAACAGCTGGGAAAAGGAAGGAAAAACCCGGCTCCAACTTACGCTGGCATTCGTTTGCGCTGTCGGCAGTGGCAGGCTTCCACGGGAACTGGTTGAAGCCCGGGCAGCAGCGATCGCAGGACCCTCCGCAGGTGTTGTGCTGGCAGTCGCACTGCAGCCTGCGGGGGAGAGGAGCGAGGGTCAGCCGAGCCACGTTTTGGTAATGCAAATATTTTGGATAAAAGGCTTCTAAGGCATTTTTCTTACTTCTGAGTTTCCTTTTTTTTTTTTTATTGGTGTGGAAGGAATAAACGAGCCCGGAGCCAGAGAGGGATGGGGCCACGCGCGTCCCATCCGCTCCGCCAGGTGTACCTGTGCTTGCAGAGAGGAAGGCCAGGGAATATGAATGAAGTCTTTTAGCAGACGCCAGCCCACGCTCCCCGTGTAATGCACCTCCTGCTTCCCCAGCCAGCACGGGCAGGGCTGTGCTGGGTAAACAGGCGGCTCCCGAGGCGCCGGGCAAGAAATCTCGACGGTTGACCGACAGGATCTCATCCCTGCTCAACCACGGCACTGATTCATTAACAGCAGTGACATCATCTCCAAAACCTCCACTTAGCAGAAGGCGATCCCCATCCAAAACAAATGCTTTCTGTTGTATTAGACTTATGGATAATACAGCATGTTCCAGCTTTTATCTGTGCAATTACTCATTTCCCCTCAGGGCTGGCCTGCCACTCCCCTTCTCTCCCTCCTCCACTGCTTTTCCATTCAAAAGCAGCGTTTAAAAATAAATCTATTTTTTAAAAAACATCAGGCACAAATGGAGTAGTGATTCCAGATGAAATACAGAGGTGCAGACACACTCCAATGGCTGCAGTGAGTTGGGAGTGTTGTGTTTTCCACCTACACAGATTTTGAAGATGTGGGACCTGCAGGCATGCGTACAGTGAATAGCTAGGCAGAGGCGGCAGCACGGGGCAAGTGAACTCATTTTAATGAAATATGGAATGACATGAAAGTCTGGGAGAAAGTTCAGGAGTTTGTTTCAGCCAGAGAGGATGAGGCAGCTCCCACCTCTGCTCCCAGCTCCACGGGCAGCCCTCTCCTTGCAGATGCCATGAAATGCTCAGCTGCAGTCGGCTCTCTGCACACTCACGCCCTGTCCTTACCCGTATTTTTGGACTGAGCCATGGCCAGGAGAGTCCAGGCAAGAAACCACATCCCTTAGGGGCTGGCTGGAGTCTATGGGGCAGAAATGAGCCCCAAAACATCCACTGCAAACTTTGTTCTTCCCATGTTTTGGAGATCCAAGAGGGAGACCCAGAGAAAGGCAAACATTGGCCGCATCTCTGTAACAAAACCACCCACAGGCCTCTTTCACCTGGCTGACCACTGCCCAATGCCTCCAAGGAAACAAAATCTTCTGATGCTTTTTTTCCATGGCAGCAGCTGGAGACTAACCCCCAAATATATACGTGTTGAAAAAGATGGTCACTGAGTCAGGGAACTTATAAACCTGCTGAGCAGTATTAATCTCCCTGGCAGGAGGACATGGCTCCAGCCACGCATCCCAGCTCTTTAACATCTGAGATGTTTGAAAGGCATTGGTTCAGTTCCCAGAAGGCGAAAAGATGGCCCTCAGTGAGTAAGAGGCATGTTTCAGATGAAGAAGGAGCTATTTATTTACTCTGCTCTACAGAGTTAGCAGTGACCTCTCAGAGAGCTCATCTATCACGGCAGCTTTACTGCACCTTGTGTCGGGTCCATGCTGCTAATGAATTATGGACGAACGTTCACAAGCTATAATATTTACATGTTTCATTGATTGAATATATACAAGGAAGAAGAGGGAGCGGCTGCGTTCACATAGCACACGTATTTCCTGGCCATCCAGCCGTAAACATAAAACCACAACCTTCCCACTCGAACTGATGCTCAACAACTGCGTGTAAACAGTCTGCAGAGAGTGTCTGTGTCACAGCTGAGAGTGGCACACAAGTGCTGCTGTATCTGGATTGGGCCAGAACATCACACTAGGGTCAGGAAAAAGTGCCCCTTTCTCTAACTGTTCCCAATTATATGAGGGAGAGAGAGCCACCGGCAAAGGGACTCACTGACTGCACAAAGGTGCCAGCACACGGGGTGCTTTCCCTTCCAGAATGGGAAAGAGCAAGCTAGCAGTCAGGATAAATCCAGCAGGGGAAAGCATTCCTGACTTCCTCCCACAGATCTGCTTTCTGAGCAGCCAGGCCTCTGTCTTTAAATACCACCTTGCTGGTTATCTTCAGCATCGAGCACAGAATCAGCAGCTCCTCTCTGGTTGTCTCTCCTCTTGCTCGTACGTCTATGACGGAGCAATGAAGGCGCAGAAACAGGAGCTCTTATCAGACAGAAACAGAGCGCTCGCAGGGTCCTCCTGAGCTCACATCCACGGCAGCTGCATGTCAACACACGGCTCCTGCCCGGGCCCTCGGTTTGCAACATGCCGAGTCCTTGCTGATGCTTATCTCTGCTCGCAGGGTTTGCCAGGAGCAAGGTCTGTGCCTGATCCTGCTGGTGCTCACCTTCACCCAGGAGAACTTTACTTCCCAGTGCTAAATTCAGCCCGTTTGACTGTAGTGTAAATAGAGATGGGTGTAAAAAGTGCAACAGACCCTTCAGGGGGCTGTATCTGCCCTCGCAGCACAGGGCCTTGCACACACACACGCTCACGCCAGATGTGCTGCCAACATACCGTGTCTGGAAGTGCAGCCTCCATAACTTGGCACTTGAGAAAAACTTTCCTAAGCTGGATAAACATCATCATTTATGGCCAGGAAGTCAGCTCACGAACATGCTCCATCATGTCCTAAAATCTCTGCCAACATTTCTAGCTCACCTCACTTCTATCAAAGTGCTCATCCTGCCTTTCTGGGCAACGGGAACAAAAAGCGGGCATGTGCTGGAGCGGGAAGTTAAAACGAGAGGCAGAGACCTCCCAGACAGGCTGAGACATAACTGGGATTTTTAACAGGGCTGGGCCAAATCACATTCCTTGCCTCCCTCTGTTTGCATTTCCTTGCCCTTTCGCCGTGGCATGTCGGCGTCTGAGGAGGCAGGACATGTGCAGCAGACACCCCGCGCCTCCCACTCGGGGTTCTGGACGAATGACACAGACCTGACAGCTGAGGCCGAGGACACGAAGGGACGGCGTGTTCCAAGCCCCAGCTGCCCCTGAGATGCCTTGGGTTGTGCGGGGTTGGGGCAGGTATTGCTGTGCTGGCCCCGTGCTGTGTCGGGACGGGAGCAGTGGGATGAGGCCCGGCAGTGCCTGCCTCAGTGGGAAGGCTGCACACAGCTGCTGCTGAAGCCTTGGAGAAATAGCAGGGCTTCACCAATTACTTGTTTTCTCAACCAAAATGCTGCCCCCGATATCATATTTCCACTGACTTCTCTGGGCTTGCCAACAGGGTACAGTAACGCCATGAGAAGCTCTTTGCCCAGCTTCTTTGTCCTGACGGATCCCCAAGGGCCTCACAGATGTTGTGTGCTGGCTGTGCAAAGCACCCAAGGAGGAGATGGCTTCTCCTCTAGGCAAGTGCAATCTGCTCTGGGTGAAACGCAACAGCTGCTCGCTAACAAGTGCTGCGGCTTTAGGAAACAGCTTGGGGCCTAGAGGGAAGATGCCAAATGCATTCACATGTGAATGGAGGAGATGAATTCCGGGAGGCAGCACAAGTCATCAGCAGAAGTGGCATCGAACAATGATCCCAACATCTCTTTCCTCCCTCGATTTCCCCTCCCTTCCTGGAAAACCCTGAGCCATCAACGTCAAGGCATTTCCATGTTAAAAAATGACTCTGCTCTGGTACACGGGTGTACAGTGCATCCAGCAACACCGAAGTCTAAAACGAAAACAAGGAACCATGCACTCAAATATTTATGAACCTTCCTTTGTCGGGGAGTTAAGCACACTGACGCAGACTTGCTTTTCAATACATCTTTGTTTTAACGCTTAGCAGCTTTTAATCTTGGCTGGGACTCACTGGAATTTTATTTTAGAAGATCCAAAAGCTCTACATGATCCTTATGAGAAAGTAATATAAGCTTCCCTCGTCCAGCTGAATCTACCCATCCCCTTCATAAAGGCAACATTCAGGATGCAAACAGATGGCTAAGACGCAACACTTCCATGGTTTGAAGAAGCTCTTTGGCATTTCAAATTGCTGAGGCGGATGGGAAGAGTCCTATGAGCCAAAATTTAACTGTTTTGCATGCTCTTGTTCTTTGCAAAGAGTATTTGTTTGGCTACATACACAACTTATCTACGGTTCTGTGAGTATAACCGAACTGCAGTCTCTATGTTCTTGGGAGACCATCCACGTACGAGAGCATTGCCCCAAATCTTAAGAAGCCATGTGGGAAGTAAGAGTCTTCTAAGAACGGGTTCAGAACACAGCCCTGGGCTTTGATGAGAAACCTCCTTGTTCGACAATATTGGCTCTGCGTGCTCACCTTCCCACTCCAGCACTCTGTCCCCATGGGGATGGCAAAGTCACGTACAGGGAAACCACACCAGGGAGCTCATCTGTCCGAAAGACAGATGGGCAAAACATCTTTCACTTCTGCTACTTTGGCTGAACTGTTTTCTAGCTTGTTCCCAGGACAGAGCCAAGAGCAACAACACCAGCACAATTACGAGCTCAGGACGGGACTCAGCTCACACTGCTGTATTTCATTCGTAGCACAACAATTAAAATGCTTTTACACAGAACTGGTACTTTGAAAAACATACCTGTAAGGGTCGTTGGGGTCTTTGGCATCACAGACATCTGCATGGCCATGGCAGACACAGCGCCCTCCAATGCTGATATCTTTGATGCTGTAGTAATACTGGAGAGCACAAGAGAAGTTGGCCATTAATATATTTATGAATAAGCTTCACAACTCTCCTACTCAGGATTCAGCAGGAGTTTATTCAATAAAATGACATGTTGGAATGCTTTCCTTGTATAAGAAATCCTGACATCATAGGGTGCAACATCTGCCTATGGTGAAACCTGCCACCACTAACAGAGCCCATGAGCTACAAACCAGGTGTCCCACACAGCCAGAAAGCTCTGTGGGACACCAGGAAGTGGTTCCCAGTTTCATGCTGTTGGTGGTAAGATCAGCTCTTCCCAATCAGCCTCCAGCTCCAGCCACAGCAGTGGTGGCACCCACTGCAGACACCTTCTGCATGGGGAGCCCAAGGAAATTCCTTCCCATGGGCAACATCCAGGGATGTCCTTTCCCTAGAGGTGGCACCCAGACCCCTCAAACACTTCCTCCTCACAAGCAAGAAGAATCAAAGTGCGCCTTACCCTCCTGGTCACTGTAGGGTCCCTTAAAGCTTTGCCCATCAGGTGCCCAAGCAGCGTGTTTGTCTGCAGGAAGCGCAGTCTGATGTTGGTGGCTTTTGTGAAATTCCGCAGGAGAGGAGAGTAGGAGAAGTTCATGGCTCCTGGGCGCCCGTTTACGAGAGAGACAACAATCTGAGAACACAAGGAAGGAAAACAAATCAGCGTCATCCTCTGATACGGGAGGAAAATAATCTCTCCCTCAGCTGAACCTGAGCTTTACCCTTTTACAGGACAACTGAATCAGTTCCCTGCTGCTCTTTTATTTGTCTTAACGCTGAGCAGTGTAAGTGGCGTCCAAAAGCCAAGTGGGAACCATTTGATACGAGCACTTTCAGTCACTGAGAAAACAAAACTAGAAATCTGTTGCCTTTTTACACAATTTTAACAACTGCCAACAAAATCAGCGCTGAATGTCTATTCCCTAAGCAGATTTCTAGCATGAAACATAGCACGGCTCTGTCCTTCGTGCCCAGTCACTGTTCGTACCAAGGCTGCTGCCTTCCCTTTGGAGGATGAGCAGTTCTGAAGTCTCCTGTCCAATGCAAGCACCTGCCCTGCTCTGCCTGCTTTTATTACCTGCCCTTATGGAGGAGTACAGATTTTAATCTAAGCACTACCCAGTATCCAAGTTTTTATTATCAGGACTCTTTCTATTTTCTCCTCCACTTTGCTGTCCTCCTCAAAAGCCTCCTGCTGACTTACATTTCTTTGTAAAGAGAAATACTCGCGGGTTATCCACGCTTTGCTGCCACTCCTCTGGGTTAGCTGGGCTGTGGGCAGCAGCAGGGGAAGGGCTGAAGAGCTCCCAGAACTCATGCCCTGAGCACAACCAACTGGAGGCAGTCAGGTCCCTCTGGACTGCCTGCACCCCATGGCTATTTTTCCATGTAAATAGAGGCACAAAAGGAAGCAGGAAACAGGAACACTGCTTCCATCAGCCTGGTGGCACAGCCACAACCCAAACGTCCTGTGTGTTCTACCAGGGTTTGTATGCTGGGAGGACAGAGGACTTTCTTCATCCATACAAGAAAGAATTGCCCAATGCCTCCTAAGAGACTCTTCCACCTATTTCAGTGGTCAGTCACTTCACTAGTGTTTTTTTTACAGCCACAGAAACCCTGGGAGCCCCAGGGGATGACCATGTGCAGCGGCTCACCTCCCCATTTTCTAAAGGCACGATCCGGGAATACTCAGTAGTGCAGATAGCGTGGTCGTCCTTGGTGATACGATCCACGGTGTGCAGTCCAAACTTCTCAATGCAGTCCCTCTTGGAAGCTGTATCAACCAGAGATGAAAGCAGTAAGAGGAAAGGAACAATTCAAAGCACTGTACTGATTTCTCCACGCTGGCCAGCAGGAGAGAAGGGTCTTTACTCTTTGTTAAGTGCTTACTAGGTAAAGATTGCTTTGCATCAACTCTCTTGTTGATAACACACTTGTGCTCCACTGCTGAGAAACCAGGGAGTCGCTGTGAGAGTAACAGGCATCATCAGAAATTCCTCCAAATCACCTCAGTGCAGTGAATTAACTCACAGATGGAAGGTAGGAAACGGGCATTGCACTGACTGTGACCACCTACCAAAAACTTGCCCTGCAATTTTGGCATTAAGCTGACAGTTTGAGCTCTAACCCTAGTCTGAATTTGTCGTCTTCATTTGCTGATGCGGAATTTGCTACACTGCTCCTGCTGAACTGAAGGGCTGATTGCTACACCTGGTCTCCAGCAGCGTGGCCCTGCTCTGTACACGCTGCTGTGGCAGCAGCAGGGGCTGAGCTGCATCCTCGTGGAAATATTTTAGCTCTGGTGTCTCGCCCCCGAGCTCTGCTTCACCAGGTGCTGCTGTAAAGGCAGCTTATCCGAAGCCCCAGGCGAGGAGGAACCTGTCACTGCTGTGAGATGATTGATCTCCAGAGCACTGCCGTGGCTGAGCACAGAGACGGGATGCTCAACAAGAGCAGCTCCTTAGGAAAACCAAAAATCTTTCCCAGCTCCCTCAAATCTCCATGGCTGCGTGAGGCAGAAGTCGGGCACTCTGGCTCTGGCACCAGCTGGGACTGGGCATCCTTCATGTCCTGTCCCCATTTGAAACGCCGCGTGGGGAACCCTTCACGGGGATAAACACCACCACGAATCTCACCCCGGCGCTCCCACTTCTTTGGTGGCCAAGGAAAGTAGGGAGGATCCGCATTGTCATGCTCCCTGCGGCCCCACTCCCCCAGACCCCATCAGCTGCCCTAACAGATGCTTTCCACAGCGTCATTTCTGCCCTCCTCCTGCAGAGCTGAGCCCAAAAGCACTTCAGTGCCCTGCCTGGGACAGCCTGGAGAACCAAACGCCTCCCACCAGGGCCGGTGTCACCCCTGGCAGGGCTGCCTGGCGTCTCTGGAGAGCGCTTACAGCTCTGCCAGCTGCTTTTAACCACCCTAGCGAACCGCACAGTGTTTTTGTTAGACCACCTACAGAATTCCCCAAGCCTAAAATAAACCTCCGCAAAGGACTCGTCGTGCTAGCAAAGCCGGCACGTTTCGGACCAGCAACCTCTTTATTTCCACGGGAATTTTCCACTGGGCTGCATGGTTACATCTCGCTTCTTCTCAAGGGGGGTTGGTGTGGACAGGGCTTGGGGTTGCAGGAGGGAGGAGAGCTCCAGATGTTGCAGCGCTGCCACTACAAGCAGGAACAAGTCTGTAGGGCAAGAGCTCTGCCCCAGACCGTACAATAACAGAACTGTAATGGGCCCCAAGAGAGACACTACAGCTGGGAGGGAAATTCTCCTTACAGAAGAAAAAAAAAAAAAAACAGAACAAGCAACTTGACAGCAGTGACTTGCCCCTAGCACATGGCAGAGGGGAAAATCTGAGCGCTGGAGAGGAGCTGCCATGCCAAGGCAATGCAGCGCACAAAATGCTTGCGGCTCTTTTAAAGCACGGGCTGACAGGTAACTCAGAAATACGAGCCCTGAGGGGCAGCCCAGGGCAAGGCCTCTGAGTGCTCTGAGGTCCCTCCATGACAGGTTTTAAGCTCTGGTTGTAGATCTTAACTCTCATCGTCTCCCAGTTAGTGCTGCTGCTTCTAGGCAGGGGACAGTGGTTAACGCGCTCCTCAGATCTGGCTGCCCCACAGACCCCGTGGGACAAATTGCCAGAGAACCAGCTGCTCCTAAAGAGATCAGGCTTTAATCAGAGAATTGGGAAGGAGGGAATGCAAACACACAGATGGATTTCTGGAGCCTCCTTGTCCAAGTGCGTCCTCTGATCCCATCCAAACAGCAGCAGGGCAGCGGCTCCCCACCCTGCCCAGGCTGCATCCCAGCTCTGGTAAGCAGGGAAGGGAAGGGAAGGGGAAGGGGAAGGGGGCTGCTTTCTGCCCCCAGACTTTTGGGTTCCTGCAGCCACCTGGAAGTGAGCTGCGGGTTTGTTTCTGGAGAGCCGAAATCTGCTAGTCTGAGCATGGTAAAAGGCAGGCAGACAGAGACAGGAGATGGAAAGAAATCTGAGGTTCTGCACCTAGACCAGCAATGCCCAAGCACTGACACCAGTGCCAGCTTTGGCATCTAGAGATTTGGGTAGGCACCAGTGACGATACCTTAAAAAATACATTTAGCAAAAGCAGTTCTGCTGCCCTGAGGAGCACCACAACCTCACCCAGCTGCTACAATCCGAAACTCAACTCTTGCAGCCTTACTGGGCAGGAGACATGTACCACATCATGGCAGTGACCCAGAAACAGCTCCAAAGCAGCCCGGTGCTTGCACTTGGGCTTTCTTTTGGCCTCACTACGCTGCAGCTCTCTCGTAACGCTGCCGTACTTACAGGCAAAATACTGCCAGGGCTCGTAGGTAAGGCCGAAGTCAGTAGATCGCTCCAGCACCCAGAGGTCAGGACGAGGAGAATTTGCAAATTTGATCAGGACATACGCCACGTGGAAGAGCTGAAAGAGAGGAACACGGAGTTAGTCGGCTGCTCAAAGCTTTACGAAAAGCAGGGGGAGCCTGGGGGCTCCCGGCTGAAGAAAGGAGCTGCCGCTTTGCAGAGCCCACTGCTCACAGGCAGCTCGTGGAGCAAAATCCTCCGTATCTAAAAGGATGCTGATACGACACGGCTGCGGGAGAGAGACAGATTAGGGAGCTCAGCTCCCACGAGTCCGAATGCAAACAAAACTCAGACTTTGTGGCTACGGGCTCTGCTCGGGAGGCTGTGCTGGGCGGCTCCTCTGACTTAGCCTCAACTGAGCAGGTGGCACCAGAAACCAGTGCCCATGTCCTGCCGAGGAAACTTGTGCTGGTCCCACCACCAAGCTCTGCAAGGAAATCACAAAAAGCTGTAAAATGCTACAAAGCCTCAGGCTGCCCTTGGGGTACCAAGTGACACCCCGAACTGTTAACATCTGCCTGGAGCCTGGAACACCCCGTGTGCACCTTGCACGTCATACCTCAAAATTAGATTTTTTTTTTTTTTAAGGCTCTACACTTGGCAGCTCTGCTGCACCCACACAAGCCACATTTTGAAGGTGGTTGCAAAAAAGCCCCGTGACTGCTCCTCTCCCCCAGGCGCCGCAGGTACAGGAGGGCAGGAGCCCCACTTGGCTCCAGCACAGCTCCAGCGCCGGGCTGCCCCCGTTCGTCTGGACACTGACGTGTGTGCACGCAGCCTTGCCAAGAATAAAATAAATGTACTCTGTAAAGAGCTAAAATGTCAGCGCTAGAGAAAAACAAAAGCCCCAGCAGAACTTCCCTTCCCCGGCTGGCACGGGCTTGCTCCAAGAATCCCCACTCCATCATCCTGTCACAAAGTGATATTTAAAGGCAAATAAAGTTCCCTTATCAGAGAAAATTCCTAACATCAAAACCAACCCAACAGGGAGTTCAGCGCTCGAGAAACGGAGATTTACGGCTCAGCAGCCCCTCCTCATACAAAGCTGGTACTGTACGAGCATATATCCCCCAAGGATTACCCGGGACACGTCTGCAGGGAAGGAGAAGGCTCCGTGCCTGCCTCAATGCGGGGGCACCAGAAAGCTGCCTGCAGCTCGGCCTGCCCCAGCCGCACACGTCGCGGAGTCAGAGGGCGAGGATTAATCAAAACAGGCCTCCAAAACAGCCCTGCTGGTAACCAGGCTTTTTAAGGGGAATGGAAGAGGCAGGGAAGAGGCATTTAAAGCTACCAGGTCAGCCATGAAGCACACGCCTTGCTACAGGCCACGCAGATGAGGGGGTCTGAGTGCTTTTAGGGTACAGGAGAGGGACAGTGCAGCCCTGTAGGATGGTCCCGGCTCTGTCTCAACATCAGCAGGATGCTGCTGACACCAGGACAGCCTCTGCTCCACTCCCCAGGGGCTGTTGTGATCCCACTGCAGGCTGCTGGCACCCACCCTCAGACCTGGGGGATGCTCAGGGAGCCCCATCGGGCTGGGGAAGCCGCGGGTCCTGCAGCACTGCGGGGCTGGTGCAGGTCGGAGGCCGTTCTCTGGCTGCCAAGGGGCAGGAGCGTGGGGTTTGTGAGCACCGGTGCAATCAGAGCGAAGAAATCAAAACCCAGCACAGCTCCCAGCTGCCAAAAACCTTGTGAGCCCAAGCAAGGGGAAAGAGACATTTCGAGCTGCTGGAGCCTGAAGGCAGGCAGACCTAAACGCTGCCTCGTCTTCCTCTCTGTTGCCTACATGGTATCAAGACACAGGAGACTGAGCTTTTTTGGAGGAGCAGAATTTTCTGCCCGCTTACCCTCCCAGCAGAGCTGTTATTCGTTAGTGAAAGAGGCTTCAGCTCAGGATGTTTTTTTGCTGCTTTCTCTGCAGGCCCCGTTCCCACAGGTTCACATCTGCCTCTTGGCACGGAGCAGGGCTGAGCACCAGCCGGCGCAGTTTCACTTTCCCTCCACTAGAAATCCTCCTCCGGCTTTATTCTCCAGGGAATAAACCACTGCTCCTGCTGGAAGCTGGCACAGCCTTCAACTGGACAAAAGCCACTGTGGCTCCAGGGTCCCGGTTCTGGCCTCAGGCACTGGGAGAGCTGGGAGGCACTGGGAGAGCTGGGAGGCACTGGGAACCACCCGTGGCTCAGAGCAGGCAGTGCCAAAGGGCTAACCCACCTTTACAAAGCTAAAAACAAAACAAAGCACCGCCAAAACAAGGCAGTATTGCAAAAGCAAGCAGCACAGCATCCCGTTGTCCTGCAGGACTGGGGTGACGTGTCCTAACTCCATCAGGTCCCGTCCCCAGGGTCTGCCCTACGAGCTACCAGCACTGAATTTAGGACCGATTTTGCAGTACCGAGCCTGAAGTGGCAGAAAACACCCGATAGTGGAAGAAGCCACAGGGTAAAATTCCTTCAGTTGACTTTAATGCACCGTGATGGACACCACCAGTCAGGTCTGAAACACGTTTGGCACTGCCCTCAGCCCAGAGGACACATCCCTGCCACAGCAGCACCGTGGAGTTTTGCTCGTGGCACTTCTGCCCTGCTGGGGGACCCACGCAGGCACGATGCTTTCCAACAGGACACGTTGTTTTGGGCACTTCCCAAGAGCAGCATTTGCATTTCTGTTCTCACACTTCGGGGGAAATGCTTTCAATGAACAGCAGCAACCCCAAACACGGAATTAGAAACATGAGGCACGTCCCTGTCCTCTCCATTTATCTTCTCGCAAAGACAGCCAGCTACGAGCTTACAGTCAGTACATTCCACGGAGTTCCTGTGGGGTCCTTCTCGCCTTCCAGTCCGATGCTGGAAAGAAATGTCTCTACCCAAACATCCTCCAGTCCGAACTCCTCGCATCCTTCTGGCTCTCAGAAGTGCTCTGAGTCACGATGCAGCCACAGCAGTGCCTGGTGAGAGGCTGGAACTCGACTCGAAGCCAAGCCTGGGGCTCAGCGCTCTGTAACGGGAAGCCAACAGCCAAAAAAAGGCCTCGTGCTGCTGGCTGCACTAAATATCCAGCATGCTAACTTATCTCTTACTGCAGCATTTTGCAGGAAAGAACCAGAACTGCTGGGTCCTCGCTGGTTCAGCCACGGCTCAGCCAAAGCCCAGCTCAGGTTCTCCTACCCCGCTCCTGCTCCCGGGGCCAAACACCATTCCCTGCTCCATGCCCCAGAGCAACGTGAGCACTATGGCACGATGCTGGGACACATCCCTTCCAGCTGGGACCGCAATTTTGGGACACAAAGCAGGAAGCCAACATCTCACACCCTCTTTCCAGCTCGTACAGGCTAGACCCATCTCTAGTCAGAGCACAGAAAACATTCAGGAGGCTGTGACCGCAGTGAACCTCCCCCTGGAACGGGACCCACATCCTGGTATTCAGAGGGATGTCTCGTCAAATCTGCTGAGTCCCCTGCCTCGCCATCCTTATCTCGTAGAGTGCGACAGCCTGCCGGAAAGAAATCAAGGCAGATTGCTTGCTTCAAGTGCACGTGCTGAGAAAACTCACAAAGCGACAAAGATGGAGCAGTCGCTCCAAAAATAGAGCTGGCAAAAAAGCCAGACTTTTCGTTCCATGTTTAGTTCCAGTACAGTTCTGCCCCACCAATATTGCAAGAGAAATGGTTGTGTTTTTTTTTTTTTTTCCAGAGCCTTTATTTAGCTCCTATTATCAGGCAGATGAATAAAAAGCTCTGTGCTCCCAGACTCTTAGGCAATTTCTTTTTCCCTTCTCCACAGGGCAGGGAGGTGCAAACCAGCTCTGATGCACACACTTGCCTCCAGGCAAGCAGATCTCAGGCTCTCACCATCTCCAAAAAAAACACCAGGTGCAACTCAGCCCCCCTTCATTTCACACAGCGAATCCTCAGCCAGGACACTCAGCCAGGGGTATTTTATGGTGCCACCTCCCTGCTGACAGTGGTTTTGGAGCCGGTTTCCCCAGGGACCATCGCTCGCAGTGCCTGGAAGGACGGAGCCAGTCCCGGAGCCAGCAGGGGAAGATGCAGGTGAGGGCAGTTCCTCCACCTCCCTCCCACTCTTCCTTCTGCTTATCTGGGCACTGGGCAGCTTTACAAGCACCAAAACACCACGGAAATGTAATTCTGATTACTGCCCACTGCTAAGATTTTGAAGAACAAAACTGAGGACCTGGGAGGCAAGAGAAACCCCGCTGCTGTTGGGGCAGCGCATCCTCTGCCCACCCATCCTCCTGCAGGAGCAGCACACAGCAGCGAGCTCCCCCAGCTCCTCGCTCCCTCTCTCCAGGCACCGATTGCAGTTTTCCAGCCCCGGGAGACACACGTGAAAACAAGACAGCAAACCAGAACCAGCGCCATCCCAGCCCCATCCTGGGTTTCTTTGGTGAGGTCTCGCTCACGCTCCTCCAAGGTGCCGCAAAGCCACACGGCAGCATTTAGTAAACAAACTACATCCCGGAAAGCCAGGGAGCTTCTGACTTGCCCTTGAATTTCTCCAGGTCAGCACCCTGCCCCTTTTAGATCTTCTGCCTCTAATCATTTATTGTCATTGAAGCAATGGGTTTACTCATTAACTGCCTGGCTGAGCCTCAGCTGTCCCAGAGCAGCGTTATTTCCTCCTAGCCCAGCCTTCAGAATCCTTCATTAAAATATCTCAGTGTTGAGCTGCTGGGAGGTACGTGCCTACATTTAGTCACACTGAGAACAATTTCAGCCCTTCTAGGAAGCAAAAACGGTGCTGGGACAACGTGGCTGCAGGGACAGGTGACCACCAAAACTCGGGGGAAAGGAAAGGGACTGAGCTCTGCACTGAGCCATTTTCGAGTTTTTCTCTTAAAACTCAAGAGTTTTATTGAGAGAGATCAAAGAAAACCCTCTCCTGTTCTCCATGGGCTGGGAACCACAGACCAGCACGAAACCTGCTCAGTATCATAAGGCAGCAGCAACCCAATGTTTTATGATGATATTTTCTGAACGGTGCCTGTTCAGCCCCTTTCTGAGCGGCTTGGCTTTTGTCAACAGCCGATGGACAG